TTCAATGGGTGGCACTGTAGCTTTCCGGTCTATCAATATATTATGTTTTTTTTTCAGAAAGCTACAGTTCTGAAGCTAGTTGTTTGCTTTCTGTCAATTTTAAATTGGTACAATCTTATAAAAATACTGACAGGGGATTTTATACAAAAAGCTCCATAAAGGAGGTTAAGAAAATGAAAGATGCTGGAGTTTACTCTTATCCCACCTCCCGAATCAAACAATTGTCTTCTTTTTCATGTTTTTTCGCTTGGCAAATTCTTTTCAGGTAAGTTTAATTTAAAGTTAAGTTAAGATATACATTTGTATATTGTTTATAAATTTGTTTATTTAAGGTGATTTAATATAAAATAAAATAATATAATACGTTTTCCGTTCCGTTTTCCTTTCCTCGTTTTAGCAATTAGAACCCTTATCATTTTTCATTATTTTATCCATTTCAATATTAGTATGTAAATTGTGGAGAGGTGGATGGGTTAAACGATTGGGTACTAGATACACTCGTATATTTAATATCCTGACCTTGATTGACTGACACGCCCCCTCCCCCAACTGTTTTCAGTGGATACATATAACATTAAAAAAAAAAAACAATTTATCTCTGTCTGCAATGGTACATGTATTAATAACACCATTATGGTTATTCAGAAATAGTATCAAAAATTAATTTACACAGCCTCAAACAATTTTATTAATAATGTTTTGGCAAAATTTGATAGCCCCCCTCCCCCCAATTTGAATAAATATGAATCCAGTTGTAACGTGAAGCGGTCACCCATCCAAGGGTTAAACAGGCTCGCCGTTGACTTAACTTGCCTGGAATAGAGGGAGACACTACCGCATCACCAGAAAAGCTAGCTCACTGGCGAGACAGTATAAGTTCCCTATGTACTGTCCGCTACACAGTCTTTTATCGTGTTTATAGCCAGTTTTAAATTTTTACCACTTTGTACTGCAAACTAGCAAAGTTTTGGCTGCAGTAACGACTCATACTTTCTTGGGGAGGGGGGGATAGTACCCTCCCCCGAATAATTTTGCCAATATTTATCGTGGAGGGTCCTATATCGGTGGGGTACCTAAATTGGTGGCATCTCCTTTTGAGCTGATGATTTTTAATGTGAGGTCTGAACTTTATCAATATATGAATGTTACGTAACACAGTAGTTTAAAGTATGTAATGTAAAATTAAAAATATTCCTAGGAATGACGGTGTTTGGTTAACTCAAAAACACACTAAATTTATAAAACTTCAACAGTTTACACGTAGATTGAAATTACAAATTATTTTTGAATTTGTTGAGAGTATGCAATCAAATACCGGTTTGTATTCTTATATTTTCTCAAATGATGACAAAACAAGTTGCTAAGACACTAAGAAAACTATGTGCGTTTATATTGAAAATATATGATTTTAGTTAGTCATTCCTCCATGATTTTTCGATCCCTCATTTATTTCATTTTTACATGTTTCATATGTGTTTTTCTTTTCCTTTTCATATTCTGATTATGTATATCATATACTTGTCCTCTGACCTGAATGTATATGTTGCAAATATTTTTCATTTCCTCATGTACCTGAAATGGTTTGAGTGAATAAAATGATCTTGAACTTGAACGGGGCCAGGTGCCTTAAACAAAATATCGAATGTATATTTTGATTAAAAATATGTTATTATTTGATTTAATTTCCTATTCAATTGTACTTGTAAGGAAAAATTTTGTATCTGTTAATTACCATGAAATACATGTAGATTCCCCGAGGACAGAACCCTATAGAAAATATACCTACTACATGTATATGCCCAAAATAAAAAAAAACAACATCTGATGAACTTTTATCTTTTTATTACTTTCTATGGAATTCTTGGGTTTTTTTTATAGTTCATAATGTAGGTTGTCCCCCCTCCCCCACACTGAAATTGCTTCCTATGGGCCTGTTACATGTATTTGTTTATTCAAGCTAAATTGTTTTTTTTTTACATTCAAGTATCTTAAAATAAGTTTTCCCTCTTTCATAGTACAATAATACTCCACAACAACTCCCTAGGTGAAGAAAAAATGATCATACATGACTTTCTTCTTTCCATATTGACATACCTGTCACTTTTTACCCAATAATACAAAAGAGTTCCAACAAGGGGAGATAACAATTTAACTCCAGCAAATTGGTAACAAGAGTGTAAAATAAGCAAAAGAAAGTTATATGAAGTGTCCAAATCAGTTATTCCTCTTCTAAAAAATATATTAGATTAAGAATCTTCTCTTTTTCTTTGAATATCATAGAAATAATCCAAAAATATGGTAAAAGACTGTTATTTAAAATATGTGAAATTGTAGCGAAATATGGTATTTCAAAGTGAATTTACAGCATGTAGATATTATTTCCCAAGCTAAATATTTTAATACAGAGTAGACTTTAGATCATTCTTAAAGTAACAATTAATTTGATTTAATTTCAACCTTGGTCTTGAGAGAAACGAGCGTCTGAAAATGGCTAAAAAATCATACTCATTTACTTAGGATCTATAAATAGATGTGTAAAAAATAAAATATTCATTTGATTTAAGTTTTTCCTCATTAATTGTGTTAATTGGACAATGACTTTGACAATAAAACAAAATTTGAAAATAAACTGATGACAAAAGGTAACTTTTTGACTTGATCAATTTGTATACATTTTCCATTAAAGCCATATATGGCGTAACTGATCAAAAAAATATATTTTTGAAAAATACAAAATTAAGTAAAGAAATATAGTTAATACATTTAAATTAAAACTTTTCATACAATTCTGAACACGAAGAACACCTCGTTTCAACTAATAATACGATTTTATATTCTCTTTAATGTGTTATTTAAGTCTTTTGTATTTTCTTCCGAGTCGGAGAAAATTCCGAGAATCCGAATTAAATTGTGATATCTTTATAACGCAATCGACTTAGATTTTGTAATTTAGGGAAAAGTGCTATCTTTATATAAAGTAATGATACAAATAATAAGTTCTTATAATTTTAGTCTAATAATTTTCATTGTACATACGCCATATATGGCTTTAAATTTTGTGTGATTTTCGGCAAATATGCACATGAGCTGTTACTAAAAATAGATGCAGGGTTCGACATTTTTTTGTGGATATTCTGACTTCTACCTTTATGTAGAAAAATTTTAAGCCACTAAAAATTCTCAAGTTGCAACCTTTCATTTGGACGATTTTTTGAATTTTGCATGGTTTTCTCGCGGACTGGCCCTTAATATGCATTTCTCTTGGGTATGTTTCTTTTCACATTCTTAGATATCCATTGTTTTTTTCCTAAAATTTCCGTACATTGGCCGTCTTCCTGGATACCGATTTATACTTGAAAAAACAACATGTACATGAAAACGAGTCATTTTATATTCTATACCTAAAGGATGCTTGACAAATTAAACCCTTGTGTAGTCAAATTGCAATAGGCGGAGCTTGTAACTATACTTCTCCATTTCATTTATTTATACATGTAGCCTAATTCCAAGAAATTTCATAGCTTTGCAACTCTCTTTAGCCCCTAATATAGACAAGACACGCTCATACCAAAAAAGCACTTTAATTTAATCGTTGATGTTATAACCTCTCATTTTAGCAGGTACCTATATAATAACATTAATAATGGTATATAGTTCAGGGACTGTAGATGTAAAATTATTTTTTGAACAAATAGTACAAAATCTGTTTATAACTATGTGTATTTCGTTTTTTCTAGGCTCCTTCAATTTAACTCTGTCCATCAAACCAATCGGCTTTGAAAAGGTTGTCCAATAAGCGAGGACATTGCTTAACGCTGATCGGAAAAAAAGAGCGAAAATAAGCATTTAACTGAAATCTATGAGGCGCTGTTTTGGTATTTTCTGGCAAATAAGGGATATCACCTATTCGAATTAGTGATATCACTCGTTCAAATTTTAAATTGGTGATGTCGCCTATTGGAAATGAATAGGTGATATCACCTATTCGTGCTGAAAAGGTGTTATCACCTATTTATGCTGAAAAGGTGATATTACCTATTCGAATAGGTGATATCACCTATTCAATTTGAAATTGGTTATATCATCAATTCGAACTGTTGATGTCGCCTTTTGGAAATCAATAGGTGATATCACCAATTCGTGCTGAAAGGGTGATATCACCTATTTATGCTGAAAAGGTGATATCACCTAATCGATTAGGTGATATCACCTATTCAATTTGAAATTGGTTATATCATCAATTCGAATTGGATATATCACCTATTTGTATTATTTACAACAAGAAATATTGAATGCTCCCTAGACATGTAGGTGGAATCTCTTTTTCGAATAGGTGATATATGTATCACCTATTTAAAATCTGAATTATGTGACATCGCTTATTCGAATAGGTAATAAAACTTATTAGAATTGGTGATATCAAAAATTGAATATAGGTGATATCACCAATTGAATATAGGTGATATCACTTATTTGAATAGGTGACGTCACTTTTTGGCAGTAAATACCTAAACGGCGCCTCATAGAAATCTGTTATATCAGGTTTAATCTGTGGGCAGGGCTTGCAGCTGCTAAACCTCATGGTTAATCGTAGCAGTGCCGTCGTCAGGACCCAGCAAAACAAATAAAACTATGCAAATATGAATTATAAAGATACAGCAACATGCAGGAATAATAATTGTTTTATATATATGTAGTATTTAAATTTAAGCTTATATTTTTTTTAAATAAAACTTGCAATTAAATCATCCATACCATCTAGAGGATGCCTTTCTGCAGAAACAGGAGTTTGTGTAAACCATTTTGGATCAACTTTCTTTTCACATGCTGGGCATCTTTTATACCAAGATAAAAGGTCAACGTCGCACGTTCTTCCATCTTCTCCCTTTGTAGGGCATTTCACTTTTATTTCATCCATTTATCTCCATCTACGGCACCAAAGGTAAATTTATAATTCATCTAAGTTATGTTTAGATAGCTACAATAACTACGAGGGCGGGGTATTGGCCAGAGATCTTGTATTGCGATGTATTCGATATTTTAAACAGCAGTGCAGTATTTTCAGCGTTATTTAAATGGCATTGTACATAACTTAGCTGCAGAAGTGTAGCTCTCCGAAAAAAAATTAGATAATAGTAATTTTAATAATATATAATAGACTGGAGAGCTACAGTTCCACAGGTCGAGACCACTACCTTATATAGAAGGCAATTTTCAACACGTGACGATGTCTTCGTCACGCCCGTTCTCCAATCAAGTGAAAGAGTCCCAAAGCATAACAGTCTACCACGTGTTTACGATTCAATGGCTACACGTGGTTTTCGTCGGTTTACTGCACAAAATTTAACTCGTCAACGGAAAAACTGTAGAGCTTCTTTATAACTATATAAGACCGAAATTGAAAGATTATATTATAAAGACACTGCTCCATGCTCACATTTAATACTGGGGTTGTTTTAGATGATTAACAGTTGCTTCGAATATCGTACAAACGCTTTGACTTTTGCATATACATAAAACACTTTCTGATAATATTGAGGGGTTAAATAATAATTGCACACTTTCTCCTGCTGTCTAAAAACAAGGACAACGATAGCACTTATGTGTCTCTTTGAACAAAGATAATACTATACTAGGCCGATGTATTATAAGTTGATATAAGGCTTCATAATGCAAATTTTGTAAATGTGAGCATAAAAATGAAAGATTATGCATCATTTTAAATATTTCTTTCACAAATTTCAAAAAAGAATTGAAAATAAGTTTCCAAGGGACAATTCAAGTTGCCTTTAATTTTCAACACAGCTATAGGTACTTGTAGTAGCCCACAATGCATTGCGGCTCATTCAGCAGTAGGTAAAGTAAACATATTAGCTAATTTACATGCAAATTTATTCTGACGTCAGACAATCTAGTGGTCTCGACCTGTTCCGCCCATCGCAAAAAAAAAAAACAGTATATTTTTTGCGCACAAAAATTTGCGCTTGATTCTGGATTAATTCTTCCAAATTCTCAATCTCCCATGCGCCCGCGTGGCGCAGTGGTTAGAGCGTCTGTTCTAAAGTCGCGAAGTAAAGATTCAATCCTTACGTCGCGGGTTCGAATCCCACTGCGGGACGTGGAGACCGGTCCTTCGGATGAGACCGTATAAACCGAGGCCCCGTGTCGCAGTAGGTGCTGGCACGATAAAGATCCCTCACTGCTCAAAGGCCCTGAGTGCCGAGCATATAGGACAAAATTTGTAGCCCTCCACCGGCAAGTGGTGGCGTCTCCATATGAGTGAAAAATTCTCGAGAGGGACGTTAAACAATATACAATCAATCAATCAATCTCCCATGCAGAGTTGTCGTTCGTTCCTCTCTCATACACATCTCCCATGCAGAGTTGTCGTTCGTTCCTCTCTCATACACCTCTGCGATGGGCTCACGTCAAGATTTTTGACATAACCTATAAAACGTGCTATTTGAAGGATCGTTTCAATTTAAATTAATAGTTTTGTATTGATTTAGTCAATATCTATCTCAAAAATCAGACATAATCATAGAAATTGAATTATTATGAATTAAAACAAACGCACTATTTCTCGTGTTTAACACTGTGTATACGCGAGCCAACGACAGAGGTGAATGTATGAGCCGATGATAGAGAGTGCCAAATTCTTACCTCAATTGCAAAAAATCTAACTTTCCAAAAAGTTTTTCAAAAATATTTTTACGGAGAGCTACAGTTCTGCAGCTATACATAACTATGATACGTAACCGGAAGGGAAAAAAAATCATGTTGACTTCATTACAGTTACACAGTGAAATATACCTACATGAAGGCCTATACAACAGCTTCTGTCTTATGGTTTGGCTCAATCACAAAACTTTCTGACAACTTTCCTTTACATATAATGATAATTACTAGAGTATATATTAATATTACAATGTATTGCAATACGATATTTTTGTCAATGTTTTGCATTTTATCGAAATATCGATATTTTTGCCCAGCCCTAATAACTAAAATTAATAATTATCTTTTGTAAGTGTCTATGTGCTAGATTTTTTTTCATTTATTGTGTTACATCCAACTTACTGATAGTTCTCAATTCGCTTTTTAAGAATTCTTTTATATATAAAATTGTGAAACTTGTTGTAGAGTATGTAAACAGTTTGGTTTTTAAGGACATTTCAAACGTCGTATCATAGCCCACACACTCGGCCATCCCACCCTTGTTTTACATATTTAACCCCCAACAGGCATGTTGCTTTTAAACGTATAGCTAGTCAATAAATGTGTTTGTATGCACTATGTACAATTAAATGAGTATTTTTCGATTCAATTTGGTTCACTACAAATAAAAACATAAGACAAAATAGGACAGCTTTTATACTACATTTCTAATACCAGTACATATGAAAGGAGACGAGGGTATATCTGCTGAACCTCTAGGACATTTCTTGTCCGCATGTAGGCCTACATACGATTTAATATTCTTTCCCCAAAAAAGTTTTGATAACATTAAACAGTTAATTAATACATGAGTACGAAGAACAGCTAATATTTTGAGGAAAGAATTACAGTACTTTTACGTAAATGAAAACATCTTACCTAATCGGAATCCATTTTACAATACTGTTGAATAAACATTTTTTTTATGTATATATCGTCATTCTTTGGAGGCACATCCCGGTACGTTACTACATAATACATTACAGATATACAATTATAATAATATTCTCTTTCTAAACATAATGAAACCATGAGAAAATACACGAGTTATTTCAAAAAATCTTTTCCTTTGGCTAATCAATTGTGCACTATTAAATGAAATATACACAAATATTCCCCTGATTAACCCCAAACTGTTGTTATAGTCATTTTTTAAAAGTCAGCTAAAACGAAAGTATGATTCCTTGAATATAAACTGAAACTTAAAAGTCAATCAATAGTATAGGTTTAGCTATAATGTGCAGGAATCACTGACTATGTTGCACACGGGTGATCTATGTACCGATACTGGCGATAGAGATCAGTTGGGCGTATTCTAATAGGGCCTATATTTTTTATTTAACATAAAACAACAAACAACAACAACACACCACCACCCCCACCACCCAAAAAAAGAACAACAAAGAAAATGAAACGATAAAAATACTGAAATGTTTCCTTTAATATACAAAACAAAACATATACAAAGTTTTTTTATTTACAGATTATTAGATAAATGAAGAGTGGTGTGGGGAGTTCACCGACGGGGCTAGAACACATGTGCTTAATTGAGGACAGGACACCCCCCTTCGATATTGACCCCTGGGCCTTTCCGACTTTTTTCTCATAAATAAGCTTTCATTGACATATCTGCGATAAGATCTCCTAAAACAAATGTTTGATAAAATCTACCCTACATTATATATATATAAAATTCACATTAATTTATATAAATAGAGTGGGTAGAAATTTTTATAAAATTTTGTTAGTGTAAGCAAATTTTCCGAGTTGATAGACTGTACATATATCATAAATGCGTCATGTGAAAAAGGTCTACAAGGCCCGGGGGTCTATATGGGGGAAGGGGAGGGGGCCGGGGTCCTGTCCTCAAGCACCTGTGGGCTAGAAGAGGTAAATGTGTTGTACATTTTGCAAATGCTTATTTTTATGCCCACGTAAACGAAGTTTCGGGGATATATATACTCCCCGTCAATGAAAACGCAACACTCTAATTTTAGGGTGGAAAGTATATACGGGAAATAACTATGTACCAAAAAAGTTAGGACATCTTTTACTTTGCCAGATCAGTTATTTAATGGTTGAATGGTTTTCATTCCATTATCAAAAGTTGATTTTTTAGTCCTCTTAACAGATAACATTTAAATAAAACACCCCCCTTCCGACCATTTGATCAAAACATGCTAGTCCGCCATGTACAACATACATGTACGCAGTCCGATTTCTACCATGAATTAGGTTTATCAATGTCTTTATATGAAGCGAAATAAATATTCTTGGGCATTTCTAATTGCCTGTTGTTCAGATACTGCGGTCGAATTTTCTCTAACATGGCGTAGTGTAGTAACTCTTGGACGTTCGGTGAAGAAACTGTTATTTATGCTATTGAAACACATGAGCCTGATGAGTCGTTAAATAGTGTACATTTGCATCTGCAGCTCTTTTTTCTTTATTTTGAGAATCTCCAGTATTAGCAATGAAAATCAGTCATTTTGAGGAAATATAGGCATCACATCCGGTAAAGAAAGAAGGATTTTTTTCCCTGGGATTTTAGTACAATACTTATGATAAACAGCTACAAAACCTTGAAAACCCAAAATATTGTTAAAAATTTTATTAAAAATGCAAAAAATTGATTTCTGTTAAAAGGGCTAAAAAGCAACTTCCGGTAGAGGAAAGAAATTCATTCAACCGTTAAATAACTGATTTTGGCAAAGTAAAAGATGTCCTAACTTTTTTGGTACATAGTTATAACCTTTATATACTTTTCACCCTAAAATTAGAGTGTTGCGTTTTCATTGACGGGGAGTATAGTTTTTGTCGTGTCTGTCCGTCCGTATGTCTGTCTCTCTGTTTGACCACAAAAACTTTAACCTTGCCCATAACTTTTGATTTAGTGAAGCTCTGACTTTTACATGTGTATTTCTTGTGACAAGACCTTTCTTTGGGTACCACCAAATTTGACCTTTTGACCTTGGACTTTGACACACTTTAACACAATTATTCCAAACTTTTACTTTGGTCATATCTTTTGAACAGTAGGAACCAGGACAATTGTACTTCACATGTGTATTCTTTATGGAAAGACCTTTCATTGGATACCACCAATCTTGACCTTTTGACCTTGACCTTGTAGATTTCCGTACTTATGAAAAAACTTCAACCTTGGCAATCACTTTTGAACGGTGATGGCTAGGGCTTTCATACTTCACATATTTAGACCTTGTAAAAAGACCCTTCATTGGATACCAATAACCTTGACCTTCTGACCTTGGAGTTTGACCTACTTTTAAAAAACAAACCTTGACCATATCTTTCAAATGGTTAGAGCCAGTGCTTTCATACTTTTTTTTTATTTAATCCTTGTGACAAGACCTTTCATTTGATACCAAGACCTTTGAACCTGTGAGGGTGTGGGTTATACACCCTGATGAACTTACAAAAATCAAAAGAAGAACTTAAAAATTTTAACAAAATTTAATAACAAAATTAAAGAACAAAATAAACAGAAATTTTAACGAAGAAAATTAACCCAAAAAAAAGTACAAAGTAAAATAAATTGAAAATGTCTTTGTTAGTTGGTCCTGGTCCACGTCAGTCAGTGCGCATGTCCCTTTGGTATGAAGTGGTCCTGTTTGTCCTGGTCCTTCCGTAAGTGCGGAAATCCTTTAGGAATAGATTTTCCAGTTTCCTTTTTTATGGCTTCACGGAACAATGTTTATTGAAAAAGGACTGCGTGGCACACTGGGTTCCTCTCGGGTTCCAGAGACAATAGTCCGACGCCAGGCTCAACACTTTGAAATGTCTTTCAATGAAACTAAATATTCAGACTTATTTCCAAATTTACAATATTTATAATTCTCAAACTTTCACAATGTTTCGTTCATGTAATAACTTTAACTCAGATAATGAAATGTTCAACGTGGGCCACCCCCCGATGATATAACTCACAGAACTGGTTTTAGAGATGGGTCGTATTGGCCGCCAAAGTTCGCTCACACGCTACGGTCTCTGTCACACACCATAACATGGAAATGGCTACTCTCTAATTAAGAATTACAGTACCCGACAGTTTACATACTCTGTAAAATTCTGTAGAGAGACTTTAGGCATGAAAATAAGGCATAAGACCCATGTGGTTTTCTATGGACAGGCCCCCTGTTAGCACTAGACGAACACATCTATCGGCTGATGTTTTTCCCGGGTACTACCCAGAGCACGCTTTAACATTACTATTTAAAGTAAAATGAGGGCTCCCCATAGGGCTGCTATGTTACTATGGTAACTAAAGGAATTTAGGGGCTTCCCACAGGATTATTAAACAAATTACCGGAAGGGTGAACCAAGGGGATTTATTTACAATGTAATGAAGAATTTCAGTTTGTTACAGACCCTTTGACCTTGACCTCGGAGTTTGACCTACTTTTTAAAATTTTTAACCTTGGCCATAACTTTTGAACTGTTAGTGCTAGTGCTTCCATACTTTACATAATTATTCTTTGTGGCACTACTGTTTATTGGATACCAATAACGTTGACCTTGACCTTGGAGATTTCCGTACTTATGAAAACCTTTGACTTTGGCAATAACATGAACGGTTAGAACTAGGGCTTCCATGCTATGCATATTTATTCTTTGTGGCAAGACCTTCTATTGGTTACAAATAACCTTGACCTTTTGACCTTTACCTTAGAGATTTCTGAACTTATAAAAAAAACATTAACCTTGGCAAAAACTTTTGAACGGTAAGGGCTAGGGCTTTCTTACTTCATATATGTAATCCTTGGGACAAGACCTTTTATTAAATACCAATAACATTGACCTTCTGACCTTGATCTTGGTTTGACCTACTTTTAAAATAATTATTTGAAAAAAATAATATAACTAATAAAGCTTACAGTAAACTGAATAGTTAGAATACCAAAGTGATAAGAAGTTTTGATTTTTATAATTGGCCAAATGTTTATAAATAGTGTTATTTTTTTATTTAGAGCTCTCATCAGTTGCATTGGCATCAATCTTAATTATTAGTATATATGAAATCATCAAATGTGAAGGTCAAGGTCAAAAAGACGTTGGTCCAGGTAGGGCTTATATTTACTTGGGAATGGACATACACCTAAAACTTGAAGCGGCACACTGAAACCAGTGTTGGGGATCTCACTTTCACGAATGTGAGCTAAATATTTGTAAGTGGCAGTATCTCCTCTCTATCTAATTTTCTAAAGGAATCTAAGAAGAAAAACACATTCTTGAATGTTGATGAAGGTGGGTGGGCACTGTTGAAGATAGGAGAAGGAGATAGGGTTGCATCCCTTCCTAGTCAAAATATTAAGTGTTTTGAAATGACTCATGATTACCTTTCAATAATTTAATTTTAGTTGCAACACATCATATGATTCGATAAAAGATTTAGTCCATTTCCCACAACACAAGTTGCCTATGTCACAATGAGTTAGGTTGAAAAAATATTACTCTGCTTGATGTTTCTTTTAAAATATGCTCAGTTTGAAGCCTTTTCCTGTAGGAAACATTGTCTCATTGTCAACACTGAAATAAAATGATAAGGAATGAAGCTTATTTCAACTTATCTTAAACAATGTAACATAACTAGGGGCAGTTTACGCTATATAAACAAATAAGCTTCATTCCTTAAATAACCTTTAATATTTATGAGCAATTTTATCGAAGTTGTGACATTACTTTTGGATCAACCCTCCTATATTGCAAAAAAGCTTCGGATCCATATTATTTTCTAGTGTAAAAGTAAGTCATCAAATTCATTTGTAACTTGGATGTTGTTCTAAGTCAACTTTTGCTCCAAATTAATTGATTCAGACATTTCTAACAAATTAACAGAAATCTTAGTTTCAGTTATCGTTTCCTTTTATTTTTAATTGCCATAATTATATCTTAAGTATGTGGATGATCTGATGAATTGAAATAGTTTGAATATATTCATTTTAATGTAACTTTAAAGTAAACAATTTTGAATATGTATTCAGTAAACAATATTACATACTTTGATGAAAGCCTTTTCAAAATATTTATTAAAACATTCCTTTTGTATAAAAAAAAAGATCTACTTCTTTTGCTTTCTTATTCATATTTCTTATTCATATTCAGAATATACTTAAGTCCTGGTATTACAAATTCTTAATCATTAACTGCATAATTCCTGATGTGTATTTCATCACAAACAAAGCTGCCCTTTCACACTTAACACATATATCCATTTGACGAAGTACACTATTATTCTTCATGGAGAACTGTTTCTCTTCAATCCCAGTACTTGATGACGCCGTCCCAGCCACACGTCGCCACTTTTGATGTTTCATGAGGATGCCACAACGCACCGATACACACATCGTCATGTGCCTTGAATTTATTGTACAGTTTTGTTGTCTTCCAGTCCCAGATATATAATTTACCATCAGCATCACCAGAGATTAGGTAGCTAGTGAGAAAAATAAAAACAAGTTCAACTAAAAATTTTAAGTTTTCATGTAAAATTCATAAAAATATGAATATTCCTTTATCAACAAATGGCCTTTGGTTTAATTCATATTTAATTCATATATATTAATGCTTTGAAAAATGGCCAAAAAAATTGATTTAAATTTAATTTTAATAGTTTCTAAGCATGCATATGACATTTTTTTTTCAATTCCAGAATGAATATATACTTGTAAATGTTAAAATTTGGCAAAAAAAGTCCTACCTCATATCAGGAGAAAAATCCACACCACATGCATAACCTGCCACCTGAAATATTTAACATCAATATAAAGTAAAGCAAACCAGAGTTCACCTTGTTTAATGCATGAAATGGACAACTCTGACATTGCATTGACTTATCTGTTCAGTTACATACCATGTGACCTGTAAATGTCTTCTTCCTCATGTATTTAAATCTGTTCAGTACGTTAAAGATGATTATCTTGTTGTCCATGGATTGACAGGCCAGCCATTTACCTAAAAGAAACAACACTTTTACTGGTAAATGATGATAAAATATTTCTGAAAAATTCAAATTATAAATTATTTTGAGTAAATCCTGTCATATATTAATAAATATATTTACATTAATTTCACATATTTATATATGGAAACTTGCATTCCTTTTTAAGAACTTGAATACTATTCTAATGAAAGCTGAGGAACTTCCACTGCATTTTAGCAATGTTGCAAGTTTTGACCGTGAATAGGTACAAAATTCTCGTGTTTTTGAAATGTAATAGCCAATCAAAAGAAAAATAATTGCATTAGAATAAATGATTTAGATCTGCAGTGGCATTTAATATATAAACACTATTTTTGCTGTCACTTTTTCCCCTATGCCTTGCATTGGTATACATGTACTTACCATTCCTTGAAAGTTGTACTGCAGGACAGGAATGCATACTAGGATCAGCAATGTACTTAAAGTCCACAGGAACGTCCCTAAAAATAACATTGATTTTCAATAAAATTCACCAAAAAATTACAGTAACAATTTTTACAACAGTTGGTGTAGATTTTATAAGACAAGATTTTTATTAATGGGTTTATAAATTCCGCAGATGACTACTTGCCATTCCCAGACTCGTAAACTTTTGTCATCTGAGGTAGACACGAATCTCCGGTTCTGATCTACAAACGTGATGGTGTTGACGGCTCCTAGATGTCTGTCATACTCCTGTACAATCTCCCCTGACCTAATGTCCCACTGGTTATAAAGAACAGCAGGATTAATACAAAAGTTTAGTCATAATAATTTATAGATATGGTTTTCAAATAAATGAACAACTAAAAATCTATTTGAGAACCAATTTACTTAAAAAAATACATTTTTCCTAACTTGCTCTGAAAAAAATGTTCATCAATTTCTGACAGGATTTTAATTAATTTCCTTCGTCCGAGTTCACACTAGAATACTTACACAGACAATTTTTTTGTCTGATGTTCCTGCAACAAATAAATGTTGTTTGTCCTCCTCTGGGTGGTATTTAACGCAGTAAGGCACTTTCCGACTAGTAAAGCGAGATTTGCATTCACCTGTAAAGACATGATAAAAATTGAGATTTATCAGTTATAATTAAAAGATTACAGTTATCATGGTTATTTAGCATTACTGTTACACCAACAAAACCTTAAAAATTTGGTCATAACCCTATGTTGAAAAAAACAATGTTATACATATATAAATCACCAAACTCTACTGCAACTTTTGCCAGAGTTATGTCCCTTAAGCAATGGTAAAAAAGTGTGAGAGAAACTGAAAATTTTAGAGAGGAAAGATGCAAAACAATCGCAGCTGTCTAAAATTTGAGGACAAAAATAAGATTGTTTTTCAAAATTCTCTCCTTCTGACATAAACCTATTGTGTTTCTTTACATCGTACTTAATACTACTTATCAGCACTAAGGAAATGTTTATTTCATTAAATATTGTCTTTGTGAATTGGAATACAACGTGCAGGGCAATGGAATGAAAATATATTGGGACTGACAGACAGTTAATCAAAAGAATGGAGGCACTTTGGGGACATAGAATATATATAGAATGCATTCAATTGTATAGCACATCCTAAATAATGACTGTGTATTATTTTTTAAAGAAGTTTGGAGAGAGGATGGAAGTTGAAATAAGGAAAGTCTTTTTTATTTTCACCAGATAGTTAAAGGACTGGAGGCCAAAAAAACATTTAAATTTGTGACAAAAACTGTGTATTCACTTAAAATATTACAATCAGCAGATTATAAGAAAAGAAATCAAAGATGGGTTTTTTTTATGAGATATAGGTGGAAAGAGACTTGAATGAGGAGAAATTACTGAGATCCTCACCTGTTTCTGTGTCCCACAGTTTGATGTACCTGTCATACCCACAGCTCAGGAACTCCTTCCCAGAGTTGTTAAAGGTGATGTCCCTCACCGCCTGTTTGTGACCACTGTAGGTACGTATGCACCGCCTCTCGTTGTAAACCTCCCAGATCTAAAATACATTCACAAGTCAAGGCATTTTTTCTGTAGAAGATCATTTTTGGTACATAGCATCCTTACACATTTTTCAAATTTTCTCCATAAAAATGTACATAAAAACAATTAAAAACAGTGAAAGGAAGGTGACTTTGGCTTTCAGCTTTTGAGACTATATATATTTTATACTTTTGCATTTGAAAATAAGTACCGGTACAGTAAATGTAATTATTTCCCACATAAATGTACAAAAATCACATTACTTCAAGAAATGGGGAAACTCATACCTTTACATGAAAATTAAACACATCCAAGTTTCAAGATTTAACCTTTTAATCTCAAAATTGAATAACATTATCGTCTTTATAAAATCATGAGAAAAATTTCAAAACACTTTTGTGCTCAATACATAAAATCAAACAAAGAAACCATACAATACCTTTATTTTACAGTCCATACTGCAAGACAACAGTAAATGTGCTGACAATGGAAACCATCGAATGGCAGAAACCCCCTTGGTGTGCCCCGTCCAGGTGTGAATGTGTTTTTTGGGCAGGAAGCACTTTTCTGGTGGATCCTCTGACTTAAGGTTGACCCCAACATCTTGAGGGATGTGTAAGAATGATCTCCCTTGGTAGTCATAAGCATCTTTGACTGAAATTCAAGAATAGCAATATTTCTTATTTCTGTTATCTATAAATGTCTGCATGTTCTGACCAAAATATACTAGGTCAAGATAGGAAACGCATTTAAAAAAATTTTTTCACAAGGGAAAAGTATGAAGGACCATGGTCATTTCTATTGACCTAATAAAGTCCATTAAATGAAACCAAAAAAAAAAACTTGTTTTATGCATGTGAACATATTATAAATTTACTATTAATATGTAATCAATTCAAGAAAAATTTTAAAAGGCCAGGATAAATTAACTGAACGTGTTATTTTCATGTATTTTCCCTACTGAAGTAATTAACAGCTATATCTATTCACTTATACACCTGCATCACAATTTTAACATCAAATAAATTAAAGTGTGTTTCATGCATGTATTACATGTGTATTCCTGAAAGTATTATGTATTCCAAAAAAATTTCTTACTGTGAAGAGTGGTCTTTTCATCACCAGTCTTTTCTTCTGTTTGTTTTGTTGTTTTGCTTCTTTTTGCCAGAATTTCATCAAGTTCTTTTTTCTCTTCCTAAGAATGGATAAAACACAAAAATGACTTAAGGCAATGCAAAGCACTTCTATTATGCCCTAACTCGTGCATCCATTTTTTTAGTTGTGAGAAGGGTAATATTTATGTGTTAAAATCTAAAAATGGAATCTTTACAATTTTAAAGATGTTACAGAATATCTTACCTCATTTGGTTTCATGACTGTCTTTTCATCAACAAATTTTCCCCAGGGTCCTAAATATCCTTCAATATTGCCCGGGTCATCATTACGTAATCTCTTTCTTTTATCCTCGGGCCTTTTCTTTGTGGATTCAAACACTGTCTTTCCTGATAGTACAGATTTTACATTGAAAATTTTCAAGTATTAATTATTAACTCTAATAAGAATTACAGATTGTTAAAGCCACTTCTGTTTTGAGTGAACCTGTAATCTAATACATACAATCATACATGCGTTACTGATATCTTTATACATGTATAACAGAAGTTATGCCCATTTTCATAAGTCAATAACAAACTAAACTGATTAAAAAATACATGAGAATAGATTTTTTTTTTATATTTCCAAATAAATCTTTATACATTACTTTTATTACAGCCAGTCTTAATCATGATTTGAACCAAATTTGAATTTACACTTTATCACATATGAGGAAGATTTCACATAATTTTTATCTTACCAGCTCAGTGGATCTTAAGAAAACAAAATTGAAATGACCTACTATATTTTTATTATTCATTTCTATGCCATCATTTTGAAATAAGTATATTGCTAAAACATTTCTTTGGATATAAAGAACTTCTATGACCAAGTTGCTCACCCTTATTTTCGTCTTTAGCCCAATAATTACATTTATCAACTTTGGGGGATAAAATCCTACACAGAAAAAAAAAATCATTCTGGTACCTTATTGTCGGTTTCTACTTTGTGGCATTGTGATGATTAATCAAAACATGATTTAATGAATTATATAAACTTAAATAAAACACAGTCAATGCAATGTACATACCATAACTATGAAATGTTCTTCTCTGGTTCTCAAACTCAAAGTTACTGACATGTGCAGGCTCTGCAAACCCTGCCAGGGTGTTCCTGGTGGCCAACATCTGTCGAGTTTTGAATGGATTTGTAGGCCCAACCTATAGACAAAGGACACATTTTATAAAAGAAATACGTGTCTATAAATCTAAGACTTTATTAGCAATCATTCAAAATCATTTTTCTTTTTCAATTACATGAATCATATGCTTTAGCAGTGACATCACCAATCATTACTGGCTTTATTTAGCTACCAAATCAATTTTTCCATTTTTCTGAGGGTGTGCCATTTTGATGCAGTGATCATTTTCAACTTTGAACTCATCTGAAAACAATCATCAAAAATCCCTCAAGAAATGTCTTTTTCTGCCAATTGCAATCAAAGTATATGGTTCTGGGGCTAAGTGATAAGAACAGTTACTCCTTGAAAATGACAATGATATTTGCAACCAATAATTAGGCACAATGTGAATAAAACACAGTCAATACAAAGAGAGGACATAAACCAAACAATGGAATTACGTTTTGCTCTAAATTGTCCAAATGCAGCAAGTCCTTCTCTGCTTTGAACCTCCCAAAGTTACTGACAGAAAATTTTTGAAAAGTTGCATTGAAATAACTAAACCCCGTAAATAAAGGTGTTTTTCCTGGTGTTAGATAGAATGCCAACATCTGTCGGGTTTTGTAATGGATTTGTAGTGCATTTACCAACCTATGGCAAAGGACACATGTTATTGGATTTTCATTTTTATGGATTATTTTTTGGGATAAAAGGCATAAGCAATCTGTTTGTTTTGATTATTTTGGTAATTCCCAGTGCAAATCATTTTATATTCTTCAGCAATCATTCAAAATCATTTTTTTTACAATTACATGAATCATATGTATTCAAAATGCTTCATGATCATGATTTGTACAACAACATGGTAAGAATACAAAATAGTGATAGGGAATGATTGAATTCCCAGTTTTTACCTTTGGTGCATACAGTTCCTCATATTTAGGATTATATGTAACTTCTTTAACAGAACTTCCAATATGTCTTTTTTGTTCAATATCTTCCTGAAATGAAAATAATTAAGTTTTCATTAAAGACCAAATCTGTTTTTAGTCTTACCTACAAAAAATCTCTTATGAGATAAAGATGAAAATATTACATAACATCCCAGTTAAAAATGTTTAAAAAAAATTTAACACAGTTATTTTTCTTTTCATCGAGGAAATTCGAAATACACATTGGAACCTTTGTTGCAATGGCTGGAGCAGCATTTAAAGCCAGCGTGGTTATGGACTTTTTATCTTGATCGATTGGCTTAAGATGAGCTGTAAAATCTTCTGTTGAATCTGTTTTTTCATCTTCTGCGTCACTGGAATCGCTGTTGTCGTATTCTTGCAGGGAAAGCATTTTTACGTTTGATAGACATCCATTTCAAATCTCGCACCTTCTACTTCCGTTTCGCAAGTCTCGTCAGGAGAACGCGAATTCTCGAGACATCGCCATTTTCTGTTGACTTCCCGTAAAAGATGATAGACTGATATTTACATCCTTGTAATGGCTTGACAACATCTAAGCGTGGACACAGGTAATTCACAATTGAAAATTGAAGGTTTGTAGTCTTTGCTAACACATGTTCGCGTTGTATCCCTTTTTTGCTTCTTGAAAAAATTACCAAAAATAGCAGGGTGTGCCCTATGATCATGAAAAAGGACTCAAACTGTCATCATCTGTCTCAGATATTCAGCTTATGCATGCTGTTGTCGCAAAGAAGAAAGAGGGTGTTTGTGAACTTACTAGTTTGGTAGTTATGATTTCATTTCAGTAGGCTGTTGTCATACAAGTTTGTCCACTACAGCCACTAAAAAAAGATAATTTTAGGTTTTGAAGATCTCCAGTATTTCCTATTTGAATCATTATATTGGATCACACAGAACATTCAGTCCTGTTTAATTAATGAACACATAGGACTGAACTAAATTTTTCAGACCGAAAAAAGTTAATAATATAAAAAAAAAGTTAATTGCGTGAAAATGCAGAACCAAGCAAATCTTACAAGCATTTCTTTTACCAGGGATTGCTCTGACATAATGCTGTAGATGGTCCATGTGGGTTTAATTGCATTAATTTGATTGATCGTTTTTGGATTTGTTGATGAATTTTTCTTATAACAAACACTCCTTGTCAAAAATTGTAAAGCTCAAAAGTGGACACTGATATGACATCAGACATCCCAGTCCGATTTACAAAGGAAAATATCCATCGGACCAGAGGTACTGCACATCAATCAGGTCCGACAGTCCAATCTGTCTTTTGCATAAACTGGATCACTTAGCTATGATTCAGGGGACCTTGGTTCGAATCGTATTTTATTCTCTTTCCTGTTATTTCCATTACTAATTCTTGATCAGCTCTGGCCTGGTTGTTTTTCTGAAGCAAGCATTTAATTTATAAAAAAGAAATGTTAAATTTGAGCCAGTGTTTACTATTTTGACAAGGAGCTATTATAAAACATGTGTTTAAATAAAACGACATTGCAGAAATTCAAATACATAAAATGAGTTTGATCAGAACTACACTGACAGTAAGATTTTCTTGGTTCTGTGTTTTCAAGTGTTTTACTTTCCTACATATTAAGTGTCTCAGTCTGACAAATTTGGTTTGTTTCTGTGTTTTCATCAAATACACAGGACTAAATATGTTGTACATGTATGTCATGATCCAAAAATCTTTCACATGTCAGACTGCACCATGAAACATTATACTTGATTCATGACCATTATTACAAAGACTTAAGGTTTACTGTACACTACATGTGTACATTATGTATAATTACTAGCAAATTAGGCTTTGATAAAAAGTCATTTAAAAACTCTCTAAAGTGGCTTATGAACATGATGATATGGGAAATTTAGATGGAAACTTAAGTGTTCGGTGCTAAGTATCATATGCGTCAAGCTCATCATGTGTTACAAGTTGAGAGAGCAATTCAGCTTAATGTTAAAAATAAATGAAATTACAACCAGATTAGTTTCATTCACACTGAAATTATGTTTGTATACACACATCAATGATTCTACAAGTCGGGGTTGTCACTAAGAATTAAAATAATGCTCAGCTAGGAGATGTACATTTGAAAAAATGAAAGGATTTAGGGTATGAATGGATCCTCTTTTAACAGGGGGATATGGGAGAATACTTAAAGAGGCTGGTGGGTGACAGCCATTTTCAGACTATTTAGATCTTCTTTAAAAGAAGAGCTTCATATAAAGATATACAAAAATGATCAAATTCTAAAACTAAAATGTATGAATTTTTTCTTTGCCAAATGATAGTTGACAGCTTTTAAGATACCGTAAATCTGGTGGTTAATTTGTAATTAATTTGTTGACCCCCCACCTCCTTAAATAACCATTCCAATTTACTTTAACAGAGCATGCTGATTACACAGAAATTAAAACATGATACATAAGACTAGATCATAAAATGTAGAAAAGTTATAATTTAGTCAGGATTGATGATATACATGATATGTACTAGCTATGTGTTATCTTTCTGTGAGCCAGACAGTATTCAAACTTTGCATATATAGTACCTTACAATATATGGAGTTATGTTCAGATTATTAAAATCATGCTATACCACTGTAGATCATCAGATATTTGTGTGTCATGTTTAAGAAAAAGTCAAAAGGTGTAATAATTCAATAGCAATACGAACTTTTCATGAACAGTTGAATTCTTGTTATTGTATGCAATCTGTACGTCAACAAAAAAATTATGTGAGAATTTAGCAAGCAGGGGGTCTTGAGGTTTTTTTTACCCAAACGATGTTTTGCAAGTACCCTGGTAAAAAAGCGATTTACATTCATGACTGTACAAGATTAGAAATGGAGATATTTCTACTCCACTTGTTATATTCTAGCTTACTTTGTACTGAAATAAAACATTACCAAATTATATAAGATGAGGAAATTTTCTTCCTAGTTTGAGTAGTTTCCAAAATATTAATCTTGTTGCTAGTGTATGGCTGATGTACAAGTCTTCCTTTTATTAAATGCAATCTTGAATTTTTAAAAATCTAAATTTAATCTTTTAAGACACAATCAAGTTTATAATTTAAATTGTTTTGATTGATTTTACCAAGAAGGAAATGAATTATTTTATAACAAAAACAAGAAGGATGTTGATATAAATCAAGGATAAGGAATAAGTTATCTTTTATAATTTTTTAAAACCAAATGTAGTGCACTAAGCAAGTGTATGCAGGGTTTAAGTAAACCTTTGTTACCCTGTGCAGTGACCCTGTCCCCCCCCCCCCCCCACACACACACACACACAACCCTTACCTACCCCGACCCCAACAACTCCCTCCCCACCCTTACCCTCTAAAGATAGGACCACAATCTCAATATACAATCCCAGGAATTAAGACTTAGGGGGACATTAATTGTTTAAATTCCAGTACAATTATGTTGTGCTGAGTAAGCTGTAAACTTTTTTTGATTCTCTGAACATCATAATTGAAATTTTTCATTGGTGGTCCAGAAAGGTACTTTAAGGTAGATATATATGTTGTAAAGGTACACTCTATTATTGAGCTTCAATAGGCGTGTCCTGTTTCCTCTCTGTGTATTCACCATCTATCTGATTACGTTAGAAGATCTAGCCTATTGTGTGTGTGATGATTCACTTGTAAATATCTCCCTCGAACAGGAAGTAGATTCATACATCAGCTTGATGTCAAGTTCAGTTTACTGAAATAGCTAAAGATAATTGAACAGCCAGGAAACTAATTCAAGCATTCCTCTTTAAATTTATTTCAAATGTTAGATGTTTGTGGTTTTCATTACATGTGATATGAATAGATAGATTGGAGGTTCATATTTTCCATCATGTTCATATCAGCTTATTATTGTAGCAAATCAACATTTAATTTGTACCACATGTATATATTTTTATTGTGACTGGATGGTGTGCATATTTCAAAGGAACATGTTAAGTCATTGTCAGAGCTGTAAGTTGTAAGTGTTGAGTTGTTGACAATTTTGTGAGGAAAATCATTCTCGATTTATTTAACTTCTGGGTTTTAACAGTTGCTTGATTAGTGTATCCTATTTACATGAATTTTGTTCTCCAGCACATTGAATAAGTGTTCCTATATGTAATATAAATAGTTTTAGCTTACTTAGGTTAGACCATGTCTGCTTTAAATGATTTATACATAAATTATACGGTTTATACCACTGTATACTATATTGACACATATAGTATATTGTAGGCAATGCTTCCAAAAAATCCCTTCAAAACAGTGGTTTTTTAAGGAATATTTCCATTTCCAATTGTTTTCTCTATGATAAACACTACAAAAGTGTTTCTTGTTAATTTCATGATAACACCCTGTGGTATGTATATTTCTCTATTACTGAAAGGTCAGGTGTCAACCTGCATGTATATCACTGGCGTATAAATATACTCAAGAAAAAATAGATGTTTTAATTGTTTACTGAGTAATTTGATATGATATAATTTTTCTTAACAAACAAAATAAATAATGAATTATCTTCGGCTCGAAAACAAGTCAATTGTGCAACGCTGTCCACTATGACCGAGGTCTCGCGAGTCCGAGAACATCACTTCCGTAACAGCCACGTGGAGAAATTGACATTGCCACATGGATCTGCACGTACTCTATCATCTGATACAGACATCGTCCCTTAGTCATTACCATCCGACTTCTTAAGCAACTCAACTTCTTCTGTTATTATAACATCCATACAAATCGGTTTCCTGGCCATGCTGACCAGCTCCCGTTTCAGCAACATTGCATTCAATATGGCGGCGGAGAAGTGACATAGTGCTTATTTATATTCGTGCTTCAGACAACCTGAATCTAGGTCACATATATAATTAAAATCAACAAGATTACTTTGATCATCATTTAAAATTCTTTTGTTGTTTATTTTATAAATGTTGATATTTGACCACGGTAAATATAAATTAGTCAATAAATTGTTTCGTTTTTTGGGGGACTATTTTTTATTGTAAAATTTGACGTCATGGGGCCTTGTGCATTTCAAATCTACTCAATTAGACGGTATTTCGATTTATTTTAAGATTGTTATTTCAAGTTAAAATGGAAATATAATGTTTAATCACTTTCCTCTAGTTTTGAGGGTATGCCAGTTATGTCTACAGTTTTATGATACGATGTTAGTGGGAAACATGGGATAATTTCAATAACGGGCTTCGCCCGTTATGCAAATTATCCCATGTTTCCCATATTGTTGATGCCCTTGCATACCCTCAAAACTAGACAGTGATTCCTTAAATCACTGCCTAGCTTGTTGGGTATGTCGGGGCATCAACCATAGTGGGAAACATGGGATAATTCAAATTATCCCATGTTTCCCACTATTGTTGATGCCCTTGCATACCCTCAAAACTAGACAGTGATTCCTTATATTTCCATTTCATTGTGAAATAAAATTATAGATTTAGACTTTAAAAATGTAGATAAATAGATTTAAATCACATGATGACTTCCATGCCAATTTCAATAGTCCTCTCCAACCGACGTCAAACACAAAGGCAGCCGCACGAGATTTACATGCATATTTGGCCTCCTTAGCGTCAGACACAGAGACAGATGCGCACGAGAATTGCATGCGTATTAGGCGTTTTTAGTTTGTTATCGACCTGCCTAATTTACATTCCGGCAGAATTATCAAGAAATAAACTACCCCTAACTTTCAAAGAGTTATCACAGAGAAAAAAAATTGAAATGGAAATATATGAAAATTACTAACATTGGTTACCCATAATGGCCATATATTAATTAGATACTGCCTAGCTTCCTGATTTAAGAGTGCAAACATTTTTGCTAATTGGGTTAGAAGCAATTACATTACGGTCTGTTTGAATGAAGCAAGCTATCAGGAAACAGCTATCTAATCAAAGAGTTGGGATATTTTTAACTTTCATTTTTTTTTTATCAATTTTACCATTGCACATGTTGCAGTATATGAACAAATTTAAGTTTTTTTTGGTTTTTTTTTTTTGGAATTCCCTCATGATTCCTTCATATATATATTATTATAACAAAAAAATATAACTATTGTTAAAAATACTTAAATATTTCAGATTCTCTGATGTGCATTATTATATAGCTGATGGCAATCCAGTTAATGGTTAATCAAAATTATTAAGTACTGTATAAATTATAAGTACTGTTAAATTTCCTCATTACATATTGTCACCAATATACCTACATTTAATTGTTAGAGGAATTCATTTTTGCAACATATGAGCCATCCACCCTAAGTAACACTCCTGAAAAGTAATTCATAAAAATGAATCAGCCTTTATTCAGGATATATTGAAAAAATATCTTTCAAAATTATATTTTTTATAAAGAATTTGCAATGTTTTTATAAACATGGGATAAGTATTGACTACTGATAAATTTAACTAGCAAGTTTTCAGTTTATATTTTGAATCCATTTTATGTTAGATTTGAAATGCAGAAATTTGCAACTTGCATTCTTAAATTGACCTGATTTTCTACATTTCAATATTAAAGTATAGATATGTAGGAAAGACACACAAAAAAAAAAACAGGAAAGAAAGACGTACATAGTTAAGTGTACCTAAAATGATTTATAGAATGTGGATGTCCTTGTAAAATTGCTTTAGAATTAAAGTCAGGCTTTCCTTCACGTGCTATCTCTACAATGATGTACATTGATGTACTTCATGAATTGCATTTAGATATTTCATTCAAGTAAACAGATAGATAAATGTTTAAGATCTCCAATTTCCTTTGAGCTCTATCCTGTTGTTTTCAGTTAATTGTCTAGAGTTTTATGGTATGATGTTGTAGTCTCGTCTTATGTGAATCAATCCTGTACTGTAGAGACAGTGTGTCATGAGTGTTAATGTACAAGCAGTCTTACAAATATTACATATTATGACAATACTGTTATTAATGGTTTAAAAACTTAATGGTAAAACATTGTCAGTGTGGTCAAGAGAATCATACAGAAACATAAGAAAAGTTATTCTAATTAAATGAAAATGTTGAATGTATATACACTACAGTAAAACTCGGTTATAATGAAGTCACTGGGACCTCTGAAATAACTTTGCTATATCCATAATTTGTTATATCGATATACGGAATTCATGGAATTTACATAACTGGGAAGCCAAGATAAATTCGCTATATCCGTGAATTCGCAATATCTATGTTCCTACTTAACGAGTTTCACTGTATAAAGCTTTGAAAAACACTACTAGACATGCTTGCATTTTTATGTAGTTGATTTTCTTTAATGAGACTATATGGATTCTTCAGTTGCATCTTGCAAACACCCAGCAATTAAACTTCCTCATGTTCAAAATAATATGAAAATCTATAATGGGTCTTTCTGACCTTATTATTTGTCTCCATGGATAGATGATGCTGTTGACAAAAAGAAAGATCATACAAAAGAGTTTAAAATAGAGGGGGGGGGTCAAATTCTGCAGATGGAAAAGTTAAATATCTGACATCTGGAAATTGAAAACAAAATTGTTTAAAACAGTATTTTAGCGATATTTTTAGTCAATCCAAAAGATCAGATGCCTCTGTAGTTGGACATGTTCAACAAAATGCACCATATGCCCAAACTAACCTATTGCCAGTAGGAATCTTCCTTTTTCTTCTTTGTTGACATACAAGAGTGTACCTGTTTGATTGTGCTAGATAGTAGATGGTATATGCAGTTTATCAAATGTTTACATGTAGCAGCAGAGTGTCCCTTCTTTTAAACTCTGCACAAGGAAGTTCTCATTAGTTTGTATGAATTAAATTTGTATTTAAAGAAAATTAAATAGTATCTTTTGATCATCATGATCATGTTGACGTTACATCAAAGTAAACATTTAGTCACTGGACTTATTAACCAATCTTGTATAACTTGTATAACTATGATGACAGATCATTCTGTAAACCTACAAGTGAATTACTTTGTCAAATTCAATTATATACTGTTTTCAAAGAAAAAAAATTTAAAGAGTTGTTGAGAAACAGGCTTGATTGCTGTCGGCCGTATACTCAGTAGGTAGAAGTCACTTGCCTTCCAGGGGCATCTAAGGTTGAGTTTAAATCTTGGTCTTGTCCATTGCATCTTTCCTCAAACCAGTTGAATACATCTGGTACCTTGAGAGTGACAATTTGAGGGTGACCTAACTGCCAGTGAAGAGCCTGGGTTGGTGTCTTCAGGGTAAAGATATTTGTAGAACAGGGGGTCAAACAGGTTCGATTGCATGTGGCTGGATGGCTCAGTTGGAGGAGCCTCTGACCAGTGATTCAGGGGGGCTCAAGTTTGTATCCTGGTCTGTTTTTCTTTGCCCATTACATATTCTTGATTTCATTTGCCCAAATAGAGTGGGAACTCTTTTTACAATTTGTATCACATTGAAATGCATACCTCTTGTTAGCAAATATATGTACATTTGCATATCTGTGGAGGTTTTTTTCTGATTTATTCACTGAAAAGTTGAAATGTGTTTTGATTGGAAATAAATTCTAGGATATCTGTTTTATCAGTCCTGTTTATTGTTTTATCATACGGTGTGTAGGGGAAATGGTTTTCTTTTTTGAAGATAATGGTTTGGTAGTTAAAAGTAAACAAAGCAAATATACTTTAATACTTAATTAACATTAATTAATGAGGAAAAAGAGTGTCCATTTCCAGATTTGGAATATTGTGATCTTTCACTGTAGATCCTGAAGGGAATACACTTGAAAAAAAATTTTTTTTGACCAATCATTTACACTGGAGTCAGTATTCTAAGATTTATGAATTATTTCTAATGATGATTATTCACAGTGTCAGGTTCTGTGCAATTGTTCTATATTGTACCTTAATAAGTTCATGATTTTTTTTTGGGGGGGGGAGGGGGGGGTATGATATACACACAACTTACTGATCACTGTATATATCTTACAAAGTCAATGTGTTTTAATCAAAACAGATTAAATTTTATGGACAAGTTATTAAAAGAAATATCTAAAAAAAAAACGGGGGTTTAAGGGAAGGGGGAAATAATTATGCATGAAAATTGTCACTAGCCATGTAAGATTGTAGATTAAAAATTGTTGGAGTTTTGAGAATTCAAAGAAAATTTTCTTGGCAAAGGAAATATTTAACAATGTTTTCTGCAAAGATATCAATTTCCTCAAAATAGAGAATGATGGTTTCCTTATCACATATTTTCTGAAGTTACATTGTATAAAGTTAATGAACACTCAATGAATTCATTGGTAAAACATGATGGCAGTATTGATGCATATAAAGTTTCTACATACATGTGTATGTAAATCTATTCATTATTTTTATGGCAATGGAGTTAATTCAAGTACATGTACAAGTATATACTGTATACAGGGTTATTTTCGCCCCGTGTTATTTTCGCCCTTTTGCACTTGCAAACTATTTTGCCCCGTTTTAAATTCGCCCAATCATAGTTTTGTTTAAGAAATTATGCTGTGTAATTTGAATTCGCACTGTTTTAAATTCGCCCAATATATATGCAATTTTGCCCCGTATACAGTATACAATTGTTGCTATATACCTACATTTAAGAATTTGTTTCATAACATTTCTTATATTTTTTACAGCGAGAGCTGACGTAACAGACCATGCCATTTATACAGCGGTGTTTGGAACCCATCAACGTTAGTCGGGTAGAGGTAGAAAAGGGCATTAAAAATGAGCTGGAATGTGTGACCAATCACACGCTCAGTAACATCATTCTACAGCTCAGCAGCCTCAGTAAGCATGCGGAGGACATGTTTACCGAGCTGTCACAGGAAGTGCAGACGTTCACCGACCGCACGCGGCAGCTCCAGGGTAGAATAGACCATCTACAGGAGAAGGTCACCAGGCTAGACGCTGCTGGAGAGCTAGGTAGGGTTGATCTGAATCACATTCTAAAGTGTTGATTGAGGGGGCAAATTGACTCTTATCATACATAGTCCTTTTTGAAATGATTGATAAATAAATATGTATTTTGTATACCCCTTGGTATTAAAGATCAATAATAATGGTGCTTTATGTTTTGAGATTTGAATAAAATTTTGAGGTTATGATGATTTAATGATAAAGTCTGAATTGGAATATAACATTAAAAAATGTTCTTCGTAGTATCCATCCATGATATACACCTGAGGAAACCTTACAAGAGTTCTACCCAACATGACCAACAGGTGGTGTCCCGGTCTACAATACCACGGTGTATACTGAAGGCTTACAGTCAGTGTGAGGCCACGCCGGCGCTGGACAAACTTAACCCATACAGGTAAATATGTACTTAACTCAGGTAATTAAACAAACGGTAGGAACATTCATAAGAAGTACAGTTGAACTTCAGTATCTCAAACCTTAAATATTCTTGATATGTCAAAGTGATTTGAATGTTCCAACCTTTTATTCTTTGAATATTTTACCCCTGATATCTCAGAGTTTTTCCTTGGTCAAGTTATATTTGAGATAATAAGGTGTAACTGTTGTGTAAAAAAGGAAAAAAAATATTACAGTCAAACATTTTAACACTTGACAAAAAATGTGCATAGTCAAGGCATCCAGCTCCAAAAGAATTAAATTTAATATTTATCAATTGATCAAAGACTTACAAATTTATTGTTTAAAAAGAAAATACAATACTTTAACATTTGCTCTTGACTTGCCTTTCAGAGAGGATGGCCGGGACAGTGTGAAGTTTTACACAGATCCAGGGTATTTCTTTGAATTATGGTTCCAAGACATCCAGAAAGATATAGAAAATAGGAAAACGGAACTAAAAGCCAAGAGAAAAAAGGTAAATTCTCTCTCCCCACTCAATTTCTAGATCCACACATGAAAACACCAGAATTTTACATTCAAATTGTATTTTTATGTTTAGTGGATCAAAACTTGTTTTTTTCCATATAGCTCAAACAAACTCATTCATTCTGTATTTGTATCCTAATGATATCACTGGTCCAGAATTTCATGTGATAAATTATATAAATACTGCATATACTTGGTAGTTGAGGGTAACATTGAAAAATTTCCCCCCAAGAAAACTATTGACAACAGGCGCAAAATCAAGGTTGACAGTCGTTTTTGAGGGGGGGTGGGGAATTTTCAGTGTTATTCTCAACTACATGCTGTATTTATTATAATGTCCTGAATGTTTTATAAAATTACCAATATTGTTGAACCATGAATTTATATCTTGATCATCCAAACAAAATATGTCAGGAAATAAACATAAAAATTTAATATAATATCATTTTCCTTGAAATATTTGATAAAGATTTGTAGCATAACTTTGTTGCATTCTATTATTTTTTTCAATTCATCATCAGTGAGCTTTTTTTTTTCACTGTATAGCCTATTGACTGTAAAAAAAATTAGTAAAATTTAAAAATATTCTAACTTTAAACATAAATATTTTTTGCTTTATTTACATTTATTGAACATTTTTTTTTTGCTTGAAAAAAAAAAATATCTTGGAACAAATACATGTAATCAGCTATTGCCATTTAAAACATGATCCCTTAATATTTGTAGAGACCACAGAAGCCAAATCAACAAAAGAAAGCCCCGCGACAGGTGCAGACAGTAGTGGAGAAATACCGAGATATGAAGCAGGGAGTGGAGTTCTCCAACAAAACAGATTACGCTGATCCAGCTAAACTAAACATACAAACAAACCAACCACGACCGGGAAGTTTGGAGGTGCAAACAAGAAAACCAGACGGAGACCATAGGGGCTCACGGCCTCCTCAGAATGGGCCACACTATTCTCAGGATGTGTCAAGACAGTCTAACTTTCAAAATGAGAACAATAATTACATTGGCCAGCCTGGAGGTCACCATCCTCAAAGCATTCAAAACCAGTTATCGCCTCAGCAGAACCGCATGTCAAATATGTCACACAGAGGATCCTCTGGGAGTATTGGTGCCTCAAGGCCCAGTCAGCCCCCTCCTGCACCTCCTCCTTTGATGTCAAATGCACATCTTCATCATCATCATAACAGTCCAAACAGGGACAGTCTACCACCGCCACCACCCCCTCCACCCCTGGGTGAAGATGAGGATCCAAGACGGTACCACCCTAGTCCAGAAATTTCAAGAGTGCCCACCACTCATCGACCATCACCTGCAAGGCAAGAGGTGGATCTGCCTCCCCCACCCCCTCCCCCTCCAATGAGCCCAGAACAAAATCTACCCCCTCCCCCACCCCCACCACCTGTGGATACGGGGATGGCACCCCCTCCACCCCCACCCCCTCCACCACCCATGCCTATGACTAATGGTTTTGATGACGAGAGTTCTTCAACTGGTTCTAGTTCCTTAAAAATGGATCTTAGCGCTTCTCCACAACTGAAACCAACGCCCAAACCACAGCCCATGGTGGATGATAGAAGTAACTTATTGGCACAAATTCGACTGGGCACTCGTAAGTTTTCATTTTGTTACTGTGTTTGCATTTTTTTAAGCTAGTAAGAAACTATTTTAAAAATTTTTTCATCATCATAAATTAGCTTCACATGTCCGTGTATTGTTAAGTAAATGATTTTTTACGGTAGTTAATGCATTGTTGCTTGCACCAAAGCTTTATGAAGCCTGATAAACACATACAGAATAATAATTATGTGTTCTTACAATAATAATTATTTGAAATTGTAATATTCTTTTTAGATAAAGATAAATTGCGCAAGGTGGAAGAGAAGAAACAAGAGAGAGACAAGTCTGCACCGGGCGGTAACTTTGACGTTCATTCCATCATGAACAGAGCATTTGAAATGCGCCGTAAAGTGATAGAAGAAAGTGAAGAAGAAGACGGTTCTTCAGACGATGAATGGGACTGATCAGCATTAACTCCAGACTTGTATAATATACAATGTACACCATAGGCAGCAAACGCTGCCGAGATCTCTTGTTGATTGTGTATCCATGACAACAGGATTTTCTCCAAAGACCCAACTTTGAATGAAATATATTCAAGGAGATGAATGAAGTGTTACTTGAACTGCATGTGGCTTTATAGTCAGCTGATGCAGTGAGAATGTATTTGTAAACACATAATACAGGACAAAAATATTATCAAAAGATTGCCATTAATCCATGTTTTATATATTAATTTGTATAATCCAAGGAATGTCTTGTAACTAATCAAAGATGACTGCTTTATTATGGCATAGAGAAACTTTTCTCCATTACTTCAGTATGTTTCATTTCATTATGTGTGTAGATCCATGATCATTATTTCTAATATAATACCCTGATTTTACAAGACAAGACATCTGTGTAAAACTGATTTATTATGATATCCAGGTATATCTACTTAACCAGTATAACAAGTATAAATGAACATAAGCTCTTCATTAAACTTCATAGATATATATCTTGTCCATACGATTTAATTTCCTCTGCATAATATCAGGATGTGATAAGAATATTTGAACATATATTGCTCTCTCTCTCCCTTTCTCTCTCTCTCTCTCTCTCTCTCTCTCTCTCTCTCATCGACTCATACATTCACCTCTGTCGTTGGCTCGTGTATATCACGGTGATAAACACGAGAAATAGTGCATTTGATTTAATTCATTATAATTCCATTTCTATGCTTATGTCTGAGTTTTGAGATAATATTTATTTAATCAATCCAGAACTATTAATTTTATTTGAAAAAATTCTGCAGATATTACGTTTTATACGTTATGTCAAAAGTCTTGACATGAGCCCATTGCAGAGGTGTCTGAGAGAGGAACGAACGACAACTCTGCGTGGGAGATTGTTGTATTGTTACATTATGTGTAAGCTATCTTGAGAAAAGTCTTCATGTTGGAAAGAAATTCTTCATGTTGGTAAGGGACATTCCTCAGTGTTTCATGCTGTGTGTTATTGCCTGTAATTATCGAATTTGAGATGTTTAAAATATGATAAGAGAACAGTATATCCATACTACTGATGAACAAAACTGAAAGATTTTTTTCAAAGTGTAAAATTTATATTTATTACACTCAACTTATAACATAAACTTCACTTAATAAACGTACAATATGACAACTATTGCATGATACATGTAACAGTATGCTATCAAAGTACAGTGCAACAATACTCAAACAGCAGTTTAAGAATAGTACTACTTTTTAGATTATTTCCTGTAGCCAAAAAAGAACTAGTGTATTTTCTTAGCCCTGTATGTAAACTGTAATTTCATCACATGACTAAGAGAGAAAATCATTTATTTCATAATTGCTGCTGTTTTTGCTTAACCTTCAGTTGTCTTCCTTGAATAAACATACTTGTTAATTATCAATTTTTATTTAGTGAATGGTGAAAACAGATCTACAGTACTGTAGTAAATATCTGTAGATTAAGCTATGTTTTTCCCATTACAGAGTTTTATAGTGTTTGTGTACATAACTTTAATTTAAAAAGTCAATTTTTCATGTGCAATATTAGTGTTTTCACCAGAAGAAGGAAGATACATAAAACTTTCCTCGTCTTATGAAGAGATATGTCAAAGGAGGTATATATAAAAGTAATAGCTTTCTAAAATTCACGTGAGTTGTTTGACTTATTTGCAGAATCTTTACCTTTTCAAGTTTAATTCTTTAATAAGTACTTGTCTGAGGGCAAATGTGGAACATTTCAATGGACTCTGTGATCATACACAGTATGTCTTAAGCCTTTAACAAGGCAAGTTTCTCAAACCATTAATGTAAAAAAAAAGGTAAAAAATAATGCAATTCTTTTTATTCTATTGAGAATTTGAAATGAATGTATATCAAATGTTAAAAAGTGTTTTTCTTTATTCCGCACCTCTTTGTAAATTGAACACATTTATTTTGCTCACTACAAAACCCAATTTTGAAATATGGAATGCATTTTTGGACTCAGGTATTCAAAATTTGATCAAAATCTAATGAGACAGACTCTCCATGTAGAAAAAAGGCTTTAATTTTTTAATAAAGGAATTCTTATATACTACCTCAGACATATTTAGTATGCTGTCTGTATTGAGCATTTTCTATGTATCTGCTTTGAATATTGTCATTCCCATTTCAATTTTATAATTTATTTATTCTGAAATTCTGCACATACGCAAACTTTTTTAACTTGACAATTTTTCTTAATGCAATACTGGACCTACTACTATTCTATGAATCAATAGTTCAATATCTTCACATATTTTAATCTCATTTTCTCTGTAGTGCAAAAATATAATTATAATGGATGAAAATTTTCTTCCAATACTCTATGTCAGTTTTAAATATTTACAAAGTATCAATAGATATGTATTTATCCATTACCTACATAGATATACTTTTCAAATAATGTGTCTTTTTCTGCAAATGTTAAGACAGAGTAATCTGGTATGAAATAATCATGTGATATGAGCAGTATGCCCCCATTTGAATGTTAAATACTTGGTCTAGTACAAAAAAGAACTGAACTTATTGTACACACTATAATTTAGATCAGTGATGATATGATTTCCCTTTCAAGAAAAGATAAAACATAATTTTTATGATGAATATTTAAAGATTTCAAATATAGAATGTGTGTAAATTTCTTTTAATATGAAAGAGAAACGTTAATATTTTGTTGCTGTTAATTTATTTCAGTTTATAATATTATTCAAAGTGCTGCATTTCTTTTAAAAAAAATAGCATCAAATAAAAGATATAAATGTTTAAGTTTGCAGGTGTCGGAAAGTTTTTCATACAAGTCCACTTTTTAACGTACGGATACATGTATTTACACTACTTTGAATTATAAATTGTTACTGAAGTGCTTATTGATAATGCATATGTTAATTGACCAGTATTTGTATGTGGGGATTTTTTTCTTCTTCTTAGATAAAACCATGGTGTTAACTACGTTGTAGTAGCTTTTTTTCTCATGCATATGCAATAAACTTTGCTTTATTTTGAATGCATTTTGTTGTGTTTTAAAGATTTTCTTTTCAAAGTTCCCGCAGACTATTTGAAAAGAGAATTTAAATTTTGACAAAGTCCAAGGTGCTTTTTAAATGCGTATAAAATAGTAAAAACTAGAGGTACTGTAAGCAATGAGCTCACTAAATGATCCTCTTTATTCAGCTTTTCATATATATAGTTTTAAAACTGCACATTCATGACCAATAAAGTTTATTCAACAATTAATGTTTTATACCGTACTTGTTACAATGGTTCAAAGTACAAAAACTGCATTTATTTTTATTTGATATACTTAAAATTTTTCAATTATTGCAAAAAATTTTCTCTCCTGATTCATTATTGCTAATGCAATTTGAGCAGATATACAAACAAAAAACTTCTTGAGCATCTCCAGGATTGGTATATATTTTTATGCTGTGTTGCAATTTCATTGAAATGATGCAAATAATAAATTTCAATAGAATATAAAGAACTTGTAAACCTTCTGTGATGTTAAAAAGTCTGCCCTTTTGAAATAATTATTTCAAAGGTGATTAAAATACAGATTTCAAAAGTGATTGAAATATTGATTTCAATAGTGCTTTAAACAATGATTTCAAATTTAATAAAAATTTAAAAACTTTAAGGTGACAGTTATCTATTTTATTCATTTAAACATGATTTTGTTATTTTTAACAACTATGCCAAAGGTTTGTTTGTACAATTTATTCTCCGAAGAACTGGAAAATGAAATAATTTTGGGAAATAGTAGTAAAATTTCAATAAAAAAACAAATATTTTGTAAATCACATATGAAAAATACAGTAAAAAAATTTGCATAATGCTTGGCGCTAAAAATTCATAGTTATAAGAGAGGATTTTTTCGAATTGTGAATATCTGAAAGGACGTCACATGACTTTATCCTTTTGCGAAGTACAATAAAGCAAATGATGCCTGAATGAAGTACCATAGAAGGAGTTAAAGCCCTTGTCAACATTTTTTAAGATTGAATTTTTGATTAAATAAAAAAAAATATGCATTTAAAAATTCTTTTACTTAACAATATTTATCGTTACACCTATTGCACAGTATTCTTTCAATATATATTGTTTCTTAGGTCTGAATTTAACCTAATTACATTTTTGCAGAAACTTACAACATCACAGGAGGTTGGAATTACCTTAATTAATTAACCTTTGAACTAAAAAAAATAAAGTAAACAATTAAAATACGGCATATACATGTATATTAACTGATTTTGTCCTACATGTATATATATACATTACAAAAAATTAAATATCACATAGGCTGATTTTTACCATTTAAAATTTCCTTAAAATTATTAGTGCTGTTGATTTTTTGATTGTATATTACACTTTTAGCACCATGTTAACATATCCAGAAATTTGTTTTCACTGATATGGAACCTTTACTGAATGTGATTTGTCTATATTTGTTTTTTCAATGATAATATTACATTTTTTGCATTTTTTCATATTTTGGCAATGTAATCTATCCACACATTTCTAAACTTGTGACATGATATTCCAAAACTTTTTCAAAGGGCATACAAATTTGTTTGCATAACAAGAGCCGGTTTAGTTGCCTGCAATTATTTCAATAACAAAAGAACATTGCAATACACCAAAATGTTATTCATCAAAATTTATGAATACACATTATGTACCCAAACACATCGCCCTAATTTATGCCGCGGTTTAACAAACCCGATACTATTATCGTTTTCCTTTTTGTAAATACTTTATACACAGAGACAGTATAAACTGTTCCATACTATGATAGAGATTGTGTTGATGATCAATACAAAGAGCACAGGGAAATGGTGGACATTGTTCAGGTGTGAGCAGGAAACAACAGAAAAGCAATTAATATATGCAAGCTTGAGATAATTTTGTTATATAAAGTTCATTTTTGTCAATGATTTTGAAAGGAAAGGATCATAAATCCATCTAAATGTAAATGTAGAAATTAGAATACATGTATCTATATTAAAAAGAAGACAGAAGACTGATAATTTTGTGTACAAACTTTCTAATGAAGATATGGTTATTTTTAATTTTAAAAATATAGAATTATATTCTTTTTACAAAGACAGAAAAAGACATGATACTGAAATACAGTACATGCACTTTGTATAAAAACTCTTTTTCAAAATTCGTTTTGTCAAAGATAGATGGTTTAATCTTGTCATATACATTAATTTTGAATTTCTTATTTACCATAATAACAAAGTTGATGGCCGCAGCTGTGTGAAGATATAAACCAATCCAATTTTTTTTCATCGAGGTATGATTCAAGGAGACCCAGAGACGCGGATATATCAAGGATTAAAAGAAAGAAGTTAATGCAAGTACATTGTTAAAGGAAATAAAGCATATATAGTGTTATGTTTCAGTATGAATATAAGTATTCTTTGCTGTGACTGTGTGGTTACACCCCTTTTCCAAACAATTTTGATTAAAATTTATGCTTTATTATGTTTCCTTTCAAAACAACTAGTGTCAGGACATCAAATACTCTACTCTGGAAGAACAAAATTTATTTGGGAGTAGCAATAATCACAACAAAAGAAGTTGATAGAAGTCTATTAGAATGGAAGCCAGTGAATGAACTTTTCATAACAGCAAGAAAGCTGAGCCTTTGCCAAACTTACATCATTTTCAAATTCACCAACAGATGATGCAGAAGACCTTCTTTTTTAAGTGTACAGCTTACAAGAAATAGTAGACAATACACCATTTCACGATGTCCTACTTATCTTGGGAGACTTAAATGCAACAGTTGGGAAAAGCAACCAAGGAAGAGAAAGCATCATGGGTAAGCAAGGCTTAGGAGAATGTAACAGCAATGGAGAGAGACTGTGCACTTTCTGCCAAGAAAACAACTTGATAATTGGTGGAACTATATTTATGCACAAAGATATCCATAAGACAACATGGAACTCCCCAGATGGACATACGAAAAATCAAATTGATCATGTCATCATCAACAAAAGATGGAGAAGTAGCCTCCTGTATGTGGTTGCAAAGCAAGGAGCAGACGTGGGAAGTGACCAATCAGTTTTCTCTCTTTTCAAGCTGAAGCTAAGGAAATCAATATAATTTTTTGCCTCAGGAAGACCGCCTCCTATTAACATCCGAAGGCTTAAAGATGCAAAAGTTATGAGATCTTTTCAATTAAAAGTGCAGAACAAGTTTGAGGCTCTTATGGAACACCCAGATGAAATTGACAAGAAACATTTAATGAGATACTCTTACAAAATGCGCAGCAAATACTTTGCCCAAGAAAGAGGAAATGAGAGGAATGGATCTCGGAGAACACATGGAAAATAGTAGAACAACGAAAAGAAAAGAAAAAGAAAAGAAAAAGAAAATCCTGTCCACTAAATCAAAGAGACAAAAAGACCAGCTCCAAGCAGAATATCGGACTATAGACAAAGAAGAAAAATGCAAGCGCAGACAGAAAGGCATACACTGAAAAACTAGCTAATGAAGCAGAACAAGCAGCTTCAAAACAAGATATGCAAACCCTCTATCGTATCACCAAAACACTAGCTGGTAAATTTCAGACAGCAGATTTACCAGTAAAAGATAAAAGAGGAAACGTCTTATCCAAAGAAGAAGATGTACAGAAACGATGGAAAGAACATTTTGAGGAAGTGTTCAATATAAATTATACAGGAAATGAGGTCCTGATAGCACCAGCCATTAGCATACTGGATATTAATACAGATCCACCCAGTATGAAGAGGTAAAAAGGCAATAATTATAAAGAGATTAAAAATGGAAAGGCTGCTGGCATTGACCAGATAAATGCAGAGCTCCTCAAGGCCGTTTCCTGGACATCTCCATCATTTAAATATTCTACAGAACATCTGGGAATTGAAGTTAATATTTTCTGTAGATATCAGGCCTATACATTTAAAAAAAAGGAGACCTTTCACACAAAAATTAATTAAAAATTTCTATTTCCATGAAAGTGCTAAAAGTTATTAAACAGAATCACATTTTTGCAGGTCTTGCAGAAAGACACAGGCAGGACTGAAATGGGAGATATGATATGGAATTTCAGATATATAAGACAAATTTACATATATTCAAAATGACTTAACTCTCCACTTTACATATATATCGACTTTACAAAAGCTTTTGACAGCGTTAATGACATCTAGCCTTAGAAAAAATTCAGTCATTTTAGGTAACTGAAACAAAATTAATTTTTAAGACCATCATTAAAGATGTTGTACATGAGATTTAAATGCCAGAAATTATCTTTTAAATTTATCAGAGGAGTTCAAATTGCAGACTGGAGTAAAAGAAGGATGTCTGCTCCTCCCTCTTTTCTTTACATTCTGCATTGACTGGATTATGCTAGAAACCATCAAGAATAAGCGGACTGGATTACTTGGGCCATGACAGAGATGTTAGAAGACCTAGATTTTGCAGACGACATAGCACTGCTATCACACCACCATCGTGACATGCAAGAAAAAACAAAACATCTAGCAGAAACAGCAATTGGCCTTAATATCAACAAACAGACCAAGATCATGAAGGTCAATCTAAATCAGAGGAGCACATCACCTTAAATAATTTTAAAATTTTTGAAGTGTAGGATTTGTCTATCTAAATTGACAAGATAACCACAGATTAACTCAGAGGTAGATGTACTAGCTTGAATTTCAAAAGCCACAGGAGCGTATGTTGGTAAGAAACATCTGGAGGTCAGCAAAGATCAGCACAAACACAAAAATAAGGATCTTCAAGAGAAACATGGTTGGGGTCACAATTGATGCTGAAGCATAAAGTAAAAACCTTTTCAAACAAGTTCAGTTTATCATTTTTAATCGTGATTTTCTTTTTAAAAATATACCATCTCAAATTAGGAGCTGTACAAAAGGACCAGAGAGTTCTTTCTCAAGTTTGAAAGAGAAGAAAATGGCTGTGGATAGGGCATGTATTAATGCATAACTGTTTATGTAGAAAAATAGAAGGAAAGAACAAACGTATTATTTCTTAAGAGTGTAATGATAAACAGGTAACGTTCACAGATTAGAACAAATTTTTTTAAAGCTCAGGTTTCATAGAAATTGAAAGTGTAAATAAAGGAAGATCAATTTGAACTCCCTTCATAAACTTTAAGAACTTTGATAGAACAATTGGATAGCAACAATGTAAGTAATTTACCAAAGATACAGTTAGTTTACAATTTAGATTGTATTACATTTAAACACTGTGTGCACATAGTTGTAAAATATACATTGCAAATGTAGAAAATGAGTCTATTACTAGTATTTCCAAATTAATTTTGTATGATTATACTTGTGAAGTACTAACCTTAAAAATCCCCAAAATCTTGATTGAATTTTTAAATGATTTTGAAACATACAGTCATGTAGCACATGAACTCGTTTTCAGGAAAAGTCATGTTGTCAGAGATATGCCTTAATTTTATCATAAATAATGCTTAATAATTTTATGCATATGTACCTTTATTAGAGAGTTGATTGCCGCGAACGTTTGAAGTTTTGCACCAATACAAGATATTTCATTAAGCTATAGCTCATGGATATCCAGAGTGATATAAGGATAAAAGAAACAAGAGAACAAATTAAAGATTAAGAGAAAGAAGGTAATGTGTTGATTAATATTGTCAGTGAAAGTAAAGAATATAGTGTTATATTTCATTGGAAATATTAGTATTAAAATGACCTGTAAATACTGTAAATGACCTGTACATGTCATCTACACCAATCAATTATGATTAAAATTATAAATTGACAGTATAAATGCATTGCTTGACACTTTTTTTTTTACTGTAGAGAACCAAGAAAGACGTTTTTTTTTTGTTTTTTTTTTTTTTTTAGATTTTTTTTATAAAGAGACCGCCTCTTTTTCTTCCAAGTATAGTACAGAAATATAAGCAAGAAACATGGAGTGGAGTTTTCATCAAATATTTCTGGTTCTGCTAAAGAGAATGCATTTAATAACCAACCTAGATCCTTGAACCTGCCAAAAAGGAATCCAGATAACAAATGCAATGAACATAGGGGCCGACAGCCTCATCTCATTGAACTTCAGTATACCCATACCCATGATGTAACCGACCAATCTAAAATTCACATGGAAAAAAAATAATGCTTGGTTAGCCAAAACTCCCATTTCAAATTAACATCGACAATCTTCAAAGACAGATTTCAATTTTTTTTGTCAGTTTTAGCAATGCCTAGTGAGCTTCAAGCACCACCCGTCCCACATTGACGCTACTTCCTAAGAATATAGCATTTCACCGACTGTCTCCCTCCAAGCAAGATTTATCATGTTCAACCCAATCTAAATTGAGATCAAAATTCCCCTTTGTCCTAATTTCAATGTTTCAATATAGGAAAGCTACGTGCGGTAAATAAGCCTTGAGAGGAAAGAAATGGAAGAAAGGCATATACCTGTAACAAACATTGATTCACATACCCATATGGAAGAGATATTGAGTAAAATGATACCAAGTGAAGAGGATGCCGAGGAAGATAGTTGAATTAATCATGTACAGTGAACAATGCATTGTTTCTTTAACAGTGAAACTTTATGAAAGTCTTTGGATGTACACATGTGAGATTTTAGTTTTTTTTATGACTGACATTCTTTTTTATCATATTGTTAAAATGTCATGATATAGGAGAAGGATAAAAATATTTTATTTCTGCATTACAGAGATTTCCATATATAATAGGAACATATAGGGACAAGTTTTATTGTGCCACTATAATCGTCTATTTACTACATTTGACATCATATACAAAAGTAATGAAATCTGATTTGTCCAGCTTACCCCTATGACTTCAGGTGTGATCAGATCATTTGTGATTTTCTGTTCCTGTCATTTGCATAATAATAATAATTTTTAAAAGTAGACACACAAATATAATTACTTTATCTTCCTGTATTATGATTAATATTTCACCATATCTACCGGGTACACGTACTGCACAAAAACAGGACGTTTAAAACAGGTGAGGGTGATCTTTTTTTATTTACATTTCGGATCATATATTGTGTATGAGCTAAGATACACGTACAATCAGACCCAATACGATTTTTATTCAATTTACATCAAATCGTATTTTGTGTTTTGAAATTGTGGTACATGATATGTAAGTTTTAAAATAGAATATAATTGTGAAAATATATCATATTGTGTCTCAAGAATAAATTAATTTAGTGCCAGTTAAGCAGATCAACATTTGTGTTTATTTAAAATACAATGCAAATATCTTCATACTTTATCCATTTTCCTCTTAAAAATGCAATATAAAAAGTTCAGGTTAAAGTTTTCTTTGCTACCAGAACAATGTGTTTAAGTTATACACCCTTCGTTCTGGTTTATTTCCTTGTAAATGTGGCAAACGAAATGCATTGTGAATGCAAAATACTTTTTCATTAGGTTCATTTTGATTTCATTTGAGGGCGAGAGTCTAATGTGCATCCTGCTACATTAATCAGCTATTCACAGTATTCATATGTCTTTTTTTTCTAGATGCTTTTGACAACAACTATTTTTGGGTCAAAAGAAATTATTTTAAAAGTATCGATAATGATTACCATTAGATGCATGATTATTTATGAAGAGTGAAAAAAAATATATGAACTAGAAATTGAAAAAAAAACATGACCAATCATGATCAGTTGCTGATAAGAATATATATAATTACTACAATTTTTTTTATGTGTATGTACTGTCATTATAATAGAAACAAGATGGGTTTTTTAGCGTTATAAGCGTGAACGCGTCCCTTCTTTTCAACTCTATATATATGAGGAAGTTCCAAGTATGTATAAATCTCATCTATGAAAAAAACAAGTGTTTAGTCAAAATTTCTTAAAAGGTGCCTTTGGCTTATGATTACATCTTTATTTTGTGGAGAGAATACATGTTATGTTGGAGAAAAAAATATTTGGTTTGGGCAACCTTTTGTAAAGGGCAATATTCGGATCTAAATTGGCTGAACGATATTAATTGCAGAGAAAATTCTCAAAGCAATGGAAAAACTAGTAGGCTAGATTTTAAGCAAACATAATTTTCTATCTTAATGAATAAACAAAGTTTCTAAATCTTAATATGTATGATGACTGTCTATCAAGTTATACAGTGTAAATAGCATATTAAATAAATACTAGTATATAGAACATATGTTAAAACATTCAGACATTAAGATATTAAACATTCTGACTTAATTGCCACTAAAATAATTTAGCTTAATGAAACATATGGAGATAACGTATAGTACTCCAGATCAAAAGTCCATAAAACAATTCAAAATAGGAGCAGAGCAAACACAGACCTCCAAAACATCAGGAGTGGGATCAGATGCCATATGGAGGAGTGAGCATCTCCTGTCGTGTGCCCCTTGTCATGATCGGGAAATAACAAAAAAACCCGTCGTTAATTCAGTGAATGAATAATGGACTAAGAATTAGTATGAAAAACGTCAGTAAGCATTTGACTCAGTGATAAATTATATTTGATGACAAGGTCATTGCATCGACCATAGAAAATATATAGAACTTACGAAATGATGACGACTTTTAACGAGACTGCTGAAATGTTTGTGTCTCCAACTTGTTTGTCAATAATTTACCTCTTTGTAAAAATTGTTCATACGTAGAGCATGCTCTTGCGTGCGTATCGAATCAACTGAAATATGTAAACGCCGTATGCAGAAAATATATAATTATTTTCATCATAATGGAGTTCGTCTGCCGACTAGTCACACCCGCTTTGTGCTTCTTGTCATAATGGGGCTGTGTTATTAAAATGCTAATTTTCGTTATAGTGGAGTTAATACCAGTATAATATTTCTAAGTACCTGTACATGTACTTTTGTTAGTATGCCAAAGAGTTTGATTATAACAATTTTTACATTTTTTACAGCAAGAGTTGACGTAACGAATCATGCCATTGATACAAAGATGTTTGGAACCCATCAACGTTAGTCGGGTAGAGGTAGAGAAGGGCATTAAAAATGAGCTGGAATGTGTGACCAATCACACGCTCAGTAACATCATTCTACAGCTCAGCAACCTCAGTAAGCATGCGGAGGACATGTTTACCGAGCTGTCACAGGAAGTGCAGACATTCACGGACCGTACGCGGCAGCTCCAGGGTAGAATAGACCATCTACAGGAGAAGGTCACCAGGCTAGACGCTGCTGGAGAACTGGGTAGGACTCAACTAGGGGGAGGTTTTGATATATGGAATTAACGAACAGCATTCGATCAAACTCAAGTCCATAAAACAATGCAATATAGGAGTGGAACAAACACGGACCTCCAAAACATCAGAGGTGGGATCAGGTGCCATGGAGGTGTGAACATCCTTGTCATTATGGGGTTGTGTTATTAACATAATAATTCGGGTTAAAAGGTTACAAACGCGACAATCTAGACAAAAAATAATGCTGTCAATGGGTTGTTAAAGAAATCTTTTGTCTAATACCTTGATCTATGTATTTTTGACTTAAATCGTATTTAATATTAATCACTGTCATATTTAAATTTTTGAAATTATTTATAATGCTAATTTCGTAAGGTCCTTGGTGAGATTAATGATAGTCGTGCTTAGTTTTTGGGATTCAAATGAAAACTTGATATTATGACAAAATTTCATGATTAATAAATATATTGTTTTGACATGAATTATAACATTTGAAATGTTTTTTGTAGTGTCCATCCATGATATACACCTGAGGAAACCTTACAAGAGTTCTACCAAACATAACCAACAGGTTGTGTCCAGATCTACAATACCACGGTGTATACTGAAGGTCTACAGTCAGTGTGAGGCCACGCCGGCTCTGGACAAACTTAACCCTTACAGGTAAATATATACTTATCTCAAGTGAATAAAGGTAATACAGTCGAACTTCGGATATCGAAAACTGATATCAAGAATATTAGGAATGTATGTCAAAAGATTTGAAATTCCCAATGACTTATATGGCACGCCAAATTCACAAAAATCAGCTAATCATAGTTTCACAATCGATAAACTAGGTTTATCGGTTGTTAACCATAGTTCACGGACTGTAAACTGTAGTTAGCGACGTAAATCTATATTTTACATCTGTAAACCATAACTAACGCGATAATCTATGTTTCACAACCGTAAACTATACTTAACACCGAAAACAATCATATGGATTGAAAAACATAGATTATCTGATTAATACAGTTTCACGAAACCGATAACTATAGTTAACGATCTGATAAATATAGTTTAAATATTTTATCTTAACAATAGTTTCCAATTGTAAACTATAGTTTACAAACGTGAATCTATGTTTATCAACAAAATCTATTGTTAACGTTTTATTACAGACAAATAAACTTAGATTAGCATTCGTTAACTATAGTTAACAACCGTTAAATACAGTTTTAAAGATGAAAACTATATTTAACGAATCGTTAACTATAGTTTACGGTTTGTAAACTATAGTTTACAGTCGATAAACCTAGTTTATCATTTGTGAAACTAGGTTTAGCTAATGTTTGTGAATTTAGCGTGCCATAGACTTATTCTATAAATATTTTATCACGACTCAAACGAATCTTTAGATAGATTGAGGTATTTTTTGTTTCATCGAGTTTGAGATATTGAGGTTTGACTGTATGGAGATTTGACTGTAAATTAAAAGGAGTTAATCGTTCTAACGTTCACCTAGGATAAAATGTACAGAGTGAAGACTCCCCGTTCCAGCTGAATTTTATATTCATTATTGATTTAAGATATACAAATTTATTTTAGAAATGAAATATTACATTTTGTTCTTGTACTTTCAGAGAAGATGGTACGAATAGTATGAAGTTTTACACAGATCCAGGATATTTCTTTGAATTATGGTTCCAAGATATGCAAAAAGATATAGAAAAAAAGAAAGCGGAACTAAAAGACATAAGGCAAAATGTAACTTCTCTTTCTCCACTTAATTTTCAAATCAACTGAATAAAACATTATGGAAATTCAAACATGATAAAAGTAAATCGTGCTTTTTTCTGAAGTATTTATAAACAATTTTAAGAATGACGTTCTTGAATTTTATGATTTTTTTCAATTCATCTTTGAACCAGTAAGCATATTCTTCACAATATGCCCAATTGACCATAAAGAATTATATTATTCTAACCTGAAATATAAAAGACTTCTGCTCTCTTTACATTTATTACATGTATACATTTCGTTTTGTTTGAAAATAAAAATATCAAGAAACAAATACAGTTATACACGTAATTGTAAGTCACTATTTAACGTGGCGTGATGCCTAATTTTTTCTTTCTAGAGACCACAGAAGCCAAATCAGCAGAAGAAAGCCCCTCCACAGGTGCAGACAGTAGTGGAGAAATACCAAGATATGAAGCAGGGAGTAGAGTTTTCCAACAAATCATATAGGGCTGATCCCGCTTTACTATATATACAAAACAACCAATCACGACCAGCAAGCTTAGAGGTGCAAATGCAAAAAGCAGAAAATAATAACAGGGTCTCAAGACCTCCACAGAATGGGCCACAGTATTCTCAGGATGTGTCAAGACAGTCTAACTTTCAAACTGAGAGCTATAATTACATTGGCCAACCTGGAAGTCACCATCCTCAAAGCATTCAAAACCATTTATCTTCTCAACAGAGCTGCATGTCAAAAATGTCACACCGAAGATCTTCTGGCAGTATTGGTGCCTCGAGGCCCAGTCAGCCCCCTCGTGCACCCCCTCCTTTGATGCCAAATGCACAACAGTATCATCAGAAGAGTCTAAACAGGGACAGTTTACCACCGCCACCACCCCCTCCACCCCTGGGTGAAGATGAGGATCAGCTTAGTCCAGAAATTTCTAAAGTGCCCATCACTCATCGACCTTCACCTGCAAAGCAAGAGGTGGACCTGCCTTCCCCACCAATGAGCATAGAACAAAATTTCCCTCCTCCCCCATGTCCACCACTTGTGGATGCAGGGATAGCACCCACACACCCTCCATCACCCATGTCTATGGCTAAAGGTTTTGATGATGAGAGTTCTACTGGATTTAGTTTCCTAAATATGGATCTTAGTGCTTCTCCACAACTGAAACCAAAGTACCAACCTCAGCCCGTGGTGGATGATAGAAGTAACTTGTTGGCACAAATTCGACTGGGCAAGCGTAAGTTTTCACGTGTTAATTGGTTGTAATAATTACCCAACCCTCAATGTAGGTGGTTTTGTGTTACATGTAGAGCAACTGCATGAGTAAAATCTGTTATGATTAATTTGCAATTTCTGAGATTCTCCTTGTGATGTTCAGTACATTTGTTATACATAGAGCTATTGCTGAGAAAAGAAATAAAAGTTTTAAATTTATTTTTAGAATTGCGTAAGGTGGAAGAGAAGAAACAAGAGAGAGACAGGTCTGTACCAGATGGAAACTTTGATGTTCATTCCATCATGAACAAAGCACTGGAAATGCGTCGTAAAGTGATCAAGGTACGTAGAGAGGAGGATGACTCTTCTGAAGGTGAATGGGAATGATCAGCATTAACTCCAGACTTATACTATCCTAAAATGTAAACGCTGCAGTTATTTTTGTTGATTGAGTATCCATGACAACAGGCTTTTCTCCAAAGACCCAACTTTTAATGAAATATTTGAAGAGATGAATGATGTGTAACTTGAAAAGATCTACACGCGGCTTTGTAGTCAGCTGATGCAGTGATGATGTATTTGTAACACATAATAAAAGTATATAAGAAAAAAACATTAGAAGATTGCCATTAATCCATGTTTTATATATAAATTTGTATAATCCAAGTATATCTTGTAGCTAATCAAAGATTTCTGCTTTATTATGGCATAGAGAAACTACTATATTTTGAATATGTTTCACTTCATTTTTAGTTTAGATCCGTGATCATCGTTACTTGTATAATACCTTGATTTTAAAAGAAATACTAGTGACAAACTGAATTATTATGATATCCAAGTATAGCTACTTTAACTTTTCCATCAAACTACATTGTAACCTTATTTTGGCAAAATCTTCTTCTATATTAATTACATGCAACTTATAACATAAACATCTTTTTGAAAATAAAGTAATAGAATGGCATCCATTGCCTGTTAATAGTTTTCTATCAAAGCATAGTGTAGTAACAGTTCCCGAATGCAATGCTTTCTAGATTATTTCCTCTGAACAAAGTACAATAATACTGTATTTTCTTAACACAGTATCTTTACTTTAATTTCAGCACACGACAAGAAGAAAATCATGAATTGATAATTGCTGTTGATTTTGCTTAATCCTCGGTTGTCCTCCTTGAATAAAAGTACTTTTATATTGTATTTTCTCATTTAATGTATGGTGAAAACACATCTGTAGGACAGTAGTAGTTATATTTAGATGAAGCTTTCATTTTCCCATTACAGAATGTTTATAGTGTTTTATTGTGTACATGGCGTTTATTTAAAGTCAATTTTTCATTTGCAAGTTAGTGTTTTTACCAGATGAAGGGAGATACATAAAACTTTCCTTGTCTTATTAAGAAATGTTTCATTAGAGGTAGATAAAAAAAACGTAGCTTTTGTACATACCTGATCTTAGTTTTCTATAATTCATATTAATCGATTGACTTATTTGCAGAATCTTCCCCTGTTCAGGTTCAAGTTTAAATCTTAATTCTTGTCTGACTGCAAATGCAGGACTTTACATTGGACTCTTAACCTATACGCAATTAGTTTTTAATCTTTAATAAGGTATGTTTCTCCGAAACATTTGATTATAAAAAGAGAAAAAAAAGCCATGCAGTTTTGTTTAGTCTAATGGGAATTTGAAATGAACATACATCAATTATAGGAGGAGATTCTACATTAAACACATCTGTATTTTTCACTACCCAACTTTATGAAATACGGAATACTTTTTAGACTAAAGATTTCCAAACCCGATCAATCCCTCATAAAATGAACTTTCAATACACAAAAACGTTTTAATGTAGGTATTTTTATAGACTACATCAGGCATATTTGGTATGCAGTCTGTATTTGCTATGTATCTGTTTTCAATATAACCATTCCCTTTTGCTATCTTAATTTATTCATTATCCTTTAATTCTGCACAGAAGCAACTTTTTTTTAATTTTTCTTCCTTTACTCTTGAATGTTGACAATGCAGGTAACAACAGTGTCTTCGTTTGTAAGGTTCATTACATTAATTGTATTTTTGTAGAATTCTTCAAGTGGTAATTTACCTTATACTCATTGTTCCCTTTCTAAGGAAGAAATTCTTCAAAATCTTGTCAGTTTTGAATATTTTTTATACCTCAAACAACCAAAACGAATTTGAACTACCATATATATCTTTATTGGATTCCAAAACTTCAGAAAAATCCTTACATACAAAGATACATACATGTAGCAGGTTTCTTATACGTCTCTGGTTTTAGTAAATGTTTAACCAAGCCTCTTTCTTTACTTCCCACTAAGATATTAACAACAGTGGAGGAGAAACTTCAAGATTACTGTGCAACAATATATTTGAAAAGTGATAAAAATCGGATGTGGATACTTAAAAATTCCAAGGAACTTTAGGAAAAATTTAAAATCACAAGATTTTACCAAAATCAACAGCTTAAAAACTAACAATTTTTCAATTTTATACTTAATCATTCCCGAAGATAAATTTAAGTCCAGCCTTTTTATATTTCATTGAAAGCTGTTTCTTTTCAATAAAACTGGAACTCGTAAATTTACTTATCTTGTCAATAGTCATTTGCAAAATTATAACAAAAAAAAAAACCATTTCTGATGCACACACAAGTACTCTGAAGTTGCCATAAAAAGGATGCTTAAGTTTCTGAATGACAATATCTATTTTGCTTTTGGAGACTAGCAGGTCTTCCAACAATTTATTGGAATTCCCATAGGTACCAATTGCACCTCGTTATTAGCAGACCTATTTTTGAATTCATTTGAAGCAGAATTTGTTCAAAATCTTATGCGTGAATAGAAGAAAACACTTGCTGTGACCTTCAACTCGATATTTAGATATATCAACAACGTATTGCCAATTAACAATAGTTATTTTAATTCTTATGTTGATACGATATATCCCGATGAGCTTGAGATAAAAGATACTACATCTGACACTTCTGTTTCATTCTTTGGATATATTTCTTGAAAAAGACGTCAATGGTAATCCAACACCCAAGCTAAATGATAAACGTGATGACTTCAACTTTTCAATTGTCAACTTCCCTTACTTATGCAGCAATCTACCTTAATCACCTGCATATGGTGTTTATATACCAGTATCTCAGTTGATTCCACACACAAGAGCATGTTCTACGTATGTACAGTTTCTAAAACAAGAATTTTTTATCAGCAATACAATGAACTTGTCATAAAATACAATTTATAATTGAGCCAAATGCTTAAAGTCACACACTTTCTTCTGTTATTTCCCGATCATGACAAGGATTACACGCCAGGTGTGACCGCTCCGCAGGGGATGCTCACTCTCCCATGGCACCTGATCCCATCTCTGATGTTTTGGAGGTCCGTGTTTGCTCTGCTCTTGTTTTGTATTGCTTTATGGACTTTAAGCTTGAATACTGTTCGTTATCTCCATATATTTCATTCATAATTGAAATTTCATATCTAGAACATCAATATCTTGAATACCGTGGATATGTTGAAGTCTTGAATATATATAGTTTAAAAAATCTTGCCACAATTTTACAGAGATGTTATGTAAGTATTGTTATTTGATAAAAGGTCATTAATATATCTGAATGTAGAGTTGAATTCACGGCCAATGTTTTGTGTTTCTCGGGTAGAAGTTTCTGAATACTTTAGTAAACTTTTCCTTAATATTAGGAGAATTAAAACAGTTCGACCAAGAGAAGAACACTGTTGCAGCCATTGGTGTTCCAGCAGTTTGTTGAAAGACTCAATGTCCAAAGACTACATAAATGTAGATGTTGTCAATGAGAAGCCTCAGCATACTTTTGATATGAACTTCACAGTACATGTGTGTAAAATCAGAGAGATTTTCAAGAAATTAAGTAATTTTTTTCATGACCAATCGCAATGTGTGAAGATTTCTGCCTTCTATTGTTTTATCAATGATATTAAATTTCTATATACTATTATCGTAAGGATTGATTGGGTATAAAGCGTTGAAAAGTGATAGGTTTTAAAACTACTTTTACTTGAAAAAAATGTGAATTTAAATTTTCTGCAAGTTCTTATAAATTTTGAGAATCCACTGTCATTTAATTTAAACCGTGCCTCAAACATCTGCACGACAATATGCCTAAAGATTTCTCCTTTACAACTTTTAATGTTAATATATACATGTATCTTTATTTGTAAAAAAAAATGTGATTTATATGTATATATATTCTTTAACACACCTTCTTTACTGGAATGTTTTAACTGGCAAATTCCTTACGTCATTTCATTCGTACAATCAAAACATTCAGTGATAGACAATGAAATGGGCGTCTCCAAAAACATTTTTTCACAACAATATGTACGTTAAAGATTTCTCCTCTACAAAGACTGTAATTTCAATTTTGGTACAGTTTGAATTTTTTTTGTTCAGTGTTTTAAATGAATAAATATTTAAGGGAGAAACATTTCATTTCTGTTTGGTAAATATATGTATAGCTTTGTGTTGGTGATGGGGGGGGGGGGGGGGGGGGGGGGGGGGGGGGGGGTGAACGATTTTTAAATAAAGTTGTCCAACAGTTTTCAGTGAGAATAAGTATAAAACTCATGCACTCTTATAATCCTAGAAATAAAATATATTGTTATGTTAAGCCATGACATGACTCTACAATTTTTTACCCCCCCCCCCTTCTAGAATCAAATATCTCCTAAAAAATAATCTTTGTCCTGTAATATTTCCATTATTATAAGCTAAAACTCATATTATAGTCAAACAAAATGTTTTTGGGAGTTGAAATATAGTATTTTTGGACACACATTTCTCTCTGCTTTGAATATTAAAAGTGTGGATTGAAAATGAATTTCGATCTGCTATTTCAATCCGATGTTTTCCAAACGTCCGCGTCGAACTGTATACCCACCCATTTCGTTGTCTATCACTGAATGTTTTGATTGTAACAGATAGAAATGACGTAAGCTGTATATTTCCAATTTTGCAAGTTAATGTTCCGCGGTCTTAAGTGTTAAAGACTGGATTGTGTTTTTAATGTGTACTCTCTGTTCTTCTTAAATACAGTCTTACCAAGAAAGACCACATTTATAAGTTCCTTGTCTGCTGGAACCATCACATATTGTTCATGTAGCCTTCTTTATTCCCCTGTCACCTCCGATATGGTGAAAACAGAGGGATATATGGTTTTAGATATTGCTTTTTAATTTCTTAATTGTTGCTTTAATATACAATTTACACGTTTAACTAACATACCTTTGTTTTTCAGATTCGAAATGTTATCTTTTTTTAATCATTTTTTATGATCCTGTAATTTTCTCTTTGAGGAAAACTTAATCTTAAACGTAAACAAACAGTTAAATTGTTCCTTCTGAGTATAAAATTATTACGATAACGCGTAGTAAACTGTTCATTTTAATATATAACTACAACATAGAAGGAAAAAAAACATATTACGTGATTTTCGTCGAAACTGATGATAAACAGGTAATTTTTTCTATTTACACAAATATTGTTTCTAAAAGCTCAGGTTTCATATATAACTGATGGAGTAGATATATAGGAAGAAACATGATATTATCTCTCAAGCTTAAAGAAAAGTAGCCATAGTCTTATCAACGTTGTTATAAAATATAAATAACGTGAAGGAAGGAAATAAAGGGAACTCCTTGTATTGGTCAATTGGATGTCAACAATGTAAGTAATTTATCAAAGATAGAAAATTACAGTTTGTAAACAATCTTGGATGTACTACGTGTACATTTACATTTCTGTAGATTATAAACATACAAAATTATAGTTTGTTATTTCCAAATTGTTTTATACGTGTAATTATGAAGTACTATGATCGTATCTAAAAAAGAATTATCAAATATTCCATTTTATTTCTGGGAATTTATTTTATTTATTCTTATTTTTTCTGTAATAAGTCGAATAAAGGACTATGCCATTTATACAGCGGTGTTTGGAACCCATCAACGTTAGTCGGGTAGAGGTAGATGAGGGCATCAAAGATGAGTTGGAATGCGTGACCAATCATACGCTCAGTAACATCATTCTACAGCTCAGCAGCCTCAGTAAGCATGCGGAGGACATGTTTACCGAGCTGTCACAGGAAGTGCAGACGTTCACGGACCGCACGCGGCAGCTCGAGAGGCGCATCAGGAATCTAAAGGAGACGGTTACAACGCTTTATGTATCTGAAGAAGGTAGGGTGAAACTATCATAGGCATATGATATACCAATTGAGATAAGGATGTGGCTTATAAATATGTAATTCTTAAATGTTTGTTGATCATCAACAAAATTAATTCGCTATAATATTCACTCTGGCTTTACAAATATATTCCGCAATACTCTGAATTGATATTCAATCCATTGGAATTCCCATGGGTGCTAATTGCGCCCTGTTATTAGAAGACCTATTTTTGTATTCATATGATGTAGAATTTGTCCACAATCTTATAAATGAAAGAAGAAAACACTTGCTGTGGCCTTCAGCTCGACATTTAGATACATCGACGATGTATTGTCAACTGATAATGGTTATTTCCATTCTTATGACGAAACAATATATTCTAATGAGCTTGAGATAACAGGTACCACAGAGTCTGACACATCTGTTTCATATTTGGATATTTTACTTGAAAAAGACACAAATGGTAATCTAACAATCAAGCTCTTTGATCAACTTGATGACTTAAACTTTTCAGTCGTCACCTTCATTTCCCTTCCCTGTATCATACCTTCATATATCTCTTAGTTGATTTGACTTGTTAGTTGATCTCTTAGTTGATCATGCTCGAGCATGCTATAAGTATGAACAATTTCTAAATTAGAATACATAAATGACCAACAAGTTGATGAATTAAAAATATCAACTCTCTTGCTTAGGGTTTAGTCAAAGGTCAACATGTCTAAAAAATTATTTCTAAATAGCTCCAAAACTATGTGTGGTATAAAGTTAAAACCTTTACAGTTTTTAAATATATCATTGATTAATAGATATAAAGTATCACTTGATGACAAATCTTTCTTAAAATGATATTTTTTGAGAAAAATTGTATCAGGAAATGTGCATATTTTAAGAAAAATGCACCTGCTTTATTCTGTCTTTTTTGTGAAAACCATCATTGAAAAAATAATATGTGTTTATCATTGAAGGGCAAGTTGGACTTGAATGGTCTCTGAAAGGCTGTTATTGAAAGCACGACAAGTATCAAGACAAGACCCCTATAAAATCTGCCATTTGCATTGTACTTTCACTTTCAAGTCTTAACATTTGGACAAAATAAACAGGGAAAACAAGTTTCCAGAGGCTATCCAAGTCCAACTTGCCCTTCATTGATAAACATATTTTGTTTCTGCAATAATGGTTTTCACTAAGATCTATGTATTAATTAGGTGTATTTTTTTGAAAATATATGCATTTTAAGAAGAATTTTTCTTAATTAATATTTTTTCCAAGTATTTTTTTTATCAAGTGATACTTTGTATCTGTTAATCAATGAAAAATTTATAAACTGTAAAAGTTTTAACTTTATACCTCACATAGTTTTGGGGCTATTGTAAAATTAAAATTTTAGACATGTTGGCCTTTGACGAAACCTTAAAGTCATTATTTCTTAAGTTCTATGATCGATACATTTTTTTTATTCCGGGTCTACGCCAGTAACTTTGACAGATTTATTCTTTGAGATTTAAGGCTTTTATCCCTTTTTCGTAAATGTATACGAAAGAAAGAAATATGTTGCTTTAGTATACTAGCAGTACTTTATTCTAATTTTGTGATGATAACTAATTTTTATAAACAATTGTGCTATGAAATTGTTCCTCAGTATCTTGACGTTGAATGTAGTAAATGAAATCAATTCTTTTTAGTTTCCATCAACGATGCTACAAAGAGGAAGCCATACAAGAGTTCAACCCGCCTTGACCAACAAGTCGTATCTAAATGTACAGCGCCACGATGTGTACTTAAGGCTTACAGTCAATGTGATGCTAAACCAGCATTAGACAAACTTAACCAATACAGGTAAATACAAAAAAGAACCTAACTAATATAGGTTAGTACAAAAAAGAAACAACTGTGGTATTTTGCAAAACATATACAGTCAAATAATGAAAGTTAATAATAAATCGTGGTCATCCTGCTGATGTTTGGACAGTATGACTCTATAACATCTATACAAACATTATTTTAGGGATAACGAGTATCTAGTCTTAATTTTATGAATTCCTAATTTTGCCATTCAAAGAGAAAAGGACTACCTATAAAATATTTTAATCAAATTTGTTCAAAGGGTAAATCATTTTTAAAGGAGAACGCGGTTGTTGACTCCAACAAATTTATTTTACTATACGCTCTATCAAACCATATTTTCATGTAACATTTGGGTAAGTAAAATACCTGCATGGAAATTTTCAAAATCCTATGTTATGAATGATTTTGAAATGCAGTACATGTATTTGGTATAATAACCCAGAAAGGTCATGTTGCCGGAGATAGGCGCCTAAATTTCATCACCTAAAGTACATTATAGTTTTATGAACTGTTATTACAGAGTTGATGGCCGCGATTGTTTGAAGTTTTACACCAATCCGGATTTCTTCATCGAGTTATGGCTTAAAGAGATCCAGAGAGACATCAGGAATAAAGAAAGACTTCTAAGAAAACTCCCTCTTCACCAAAGAATTGTAACTAAAATCAATTTGCATCAATATTGTTTGTAATTTACTCACTTCGATTCCTCTTCTCTTAAGAAGTCTAAAATGGCAGTATAAATGCATTAAATATTTCTATGCAGGGAACAAAGAAAGACGGTTATGGGAAGAGAACACCTCGATCTCTTCAAAGTATAGTACAGAAATATGAGAATAGGAAACATGGAGTGGAGTTTTCATCCAATAATGCTGGATCTATTAAAGCAAATGCATATAAAAATCAGTCTGCTAGATCCTTGGACGTGCATGAAAGGAAACCAGTGAACAAAAGCAGTGAACAAAGGAACCAACAACCTCATCTCAATAAACCTCAGTTTTCTCATGATATACCTAAACAATCTAAAATTCACAAAGAGAAAAATAATGCTGGGATACCTGAAACGCAACATCCACTTATTATTCAAAGTAATATGTCCAATCTTCAGAGACAACTTTCAAAAACGGTGTCACTCCGAGCGGCAGCAAGGCCTATTGAGCCCCCACCGCCGCCACCTCCCACATATAAGCTTCTTCGTGACACTACAGAAGTAAACCCTTCGTCTCCAATTAACCAATATCCATCACCTTGCACCCATCTTCCCTTTCTAAATCCTGAACAAAATTTTCCCCCTCCACCTTCACCACCACCGCCATATATGGACCAAGAGGAAGCACTTCCTCCCCCATCCTCATTGTTTATGGTCAAAGAGGTGGCGCCCCCTCCCCCACCCCCACCATACGTGGAACCAAAGATGGCACCACCTCCACCACCACCACCCTTGCCACCTACAATGGGAAAAACTAATGAGGTTGATGATGAAAAATCGAACTGGGTTACTTCCTTAAAGGGTCTTCTTTCTGCTTCTCGTAAACTGAAACCGACTCCAAAGCGACAACCCAAAGACGACAATAGAAGCAAACTGTTACAAGAGATAAAAGAATTTGGCCGTGGTAAGTTTTTCATGATAGAATTTTACAGTATATGTGCTATTTGTATAGTACCTGCATCAGCAAATATTCTGATGAAATTGTTGCCTCAAAGAAGAAGCTGATCTTTTTGCAATCATGAGATATTTAAATTAAATTTTGATATGCAAAAATGTATACACTAATATTTCTTCTTTAAAATACTTATCAGCTAGTACTATTAACTTGAATAATTATTTCATTATTCTTCGACAAAGGAAAATTACGTCCGGTAGATAGGCCTTGGGAGGAAAAAGTAGAAGAAAAGCCCATACCTGCCGCAAACATTGATGTACATGCCCTTATGGAAAAGATGCTGAGCATTAGTGAAATGATACAACCAAGTGATGAAGACGATGAGGAGAATAGTTCTGAGGATGATGATGATTGGAATTAGTCACTGTAAATAATGCAAAATTTCTCACACAGGGAATCCTAAAGGAAGTCATGTCCTAGAACGCGAAAGTTTTGTTTTTATGACGGATTTTTTTTCTCTCCATATTTTTAAGAAAAAAAGTCACTACGAGGTTGATAGGGAAAATTGTTTTTTTTTTTTTTTTGGGGGGGGGGGGGGGGGGGGCTTGTGGAGATTCCATATTTTAGGTCTTTATGTTCCATATTGTAGGTTTTTATTGTCAATTTTATTTCGCTTTACAAATATAATCTTTGCACTAAATATGCAAAGATATACAAAATAAAAAAAAAAAATAAAAGTCAAAGTATCCTGGTTTGTAGTATGTTTCACTGAATTTAAGATGTGCTAGGAACA